CTCAAGCATATGCCAAACGTCATGGTCCAAATTGGGAAGCACACGAAGCAGACATTACGGGTCCAAATGGAAAACCTGATGGTATAAATGAAGTTTTCGTTACTGATGGTCAAGGAAATATTAAAGTCATAAATGGTTATAAATTAACTATATCTGATTATCCTAAACGTAAAGCATATAATGAACGTTATCCTATGCAATTTGATGAAAATGGAAAAGCTGTTAAACAATACATTGGAGAAGGTGAAAATGGTCCAATTAATTCATACCGTCATAATCCATATTCTTATTTCAATGAAGAATTAAATGCTGTTGAAGAGGGACCGGATGGATTACCACGATATTCTAACCAGTTTGATGGTCAATATGCAAATATTAGACCTGAAATTTCAGCTAAGAAATTCTTTAAAGTTGCTTTATTCGATCCAGTTTTCGCAAATGTTAAAGATGAACTTAAACAGCAATTCCAACCAATTATAGTAGCAAGAATTGCATCAGGTGCTTTATCTCAAGCATTCAAAGATTTAATTAAGAAACCATTATATCAGCAACGAGGTTTAACTTATGATTTAGTTAAGGAATCAGATAAAAGAAAATTTGAGAAATCAAATGATTATAAGAATGCAATTAATGAATATATTCGGTCTATTAATTTCGATGAAAATGCTAAAAATCAACTTCATGAACAAATACAGGGAATAATAGATTCAAAAGTTCCAGCAAAATAAAAGTTTAAATATATTTTTTTATTCGATTATAAATGAGAAGACGTTTCACTAGTCAAAAGAACACTAACGCAAAAGCAGAGATTACGGTTGGTTATAACGTAAATGATGATAAATCACGAATTATTCAAAATGTTAAAGTTAATGTTAGTCCTGAATTAACAAGGTCAGCAACTCAACCAAATTTATTAACTCGTGACTTACCGAAGAATGAGGAGGAGCAAAATAAAGAAGATGGAGACCCAATCATTTTATCTGAACCCAGTAAAGAACCTGTTGAAATTCCCACTTATCCAACATACCCCCCCTCTTTCATCAAACATCGAGAACCCATATAAAATAGACATTAATTCAGAATTAATGAAAATTTACCGTGATATAATAATTAATAATTATGATTCAATAATAAATTTAATTGATCAATCCGGTTTAATTATTTTACCTTATGAATCATTAATTCACATTATTGCCATTCTTTGTGATGTTCAAGATTCAGACGTTAAGATTCAATTTTTCATAGATGATGAGGTTTCATGCTGCGGAACAGTTGCAAAAATAAATCCTATAAAGGATATTAGCACAATTAAGATATCAAAGAACGGAACAACAACTGAACTTCATTTAACATATAATGATATTTATAATAAAATAGTTGATGAATATAAAATATCACTTGAAAAATTCTTTGTTAAGGCTATTTAATATTCAAGCATTAACATTATCGAATAATAATCCTTTGAATCATAATCAATAATAATTGACCTTTCACCAGTTTCTATCGTTTGTTTTATTTCTTTTTGTTCCCCACTATCCGGATCGGTCATTGTAATTGTTTTTGTTATAGTATCAGCTTTATCTTTAACTTCAATCTTTTTTCCATCGGGATATTTAAACCAAAATTCCAAAAATTCGATATTGTCAATCTGTTCATATTTTAATCTATCAATTACATTTTTAATACCATCTGAAAATCTTATGAAATGGTCATTATATGGGTTTGATTGAACTAAATTTGAATGAAGTGAAATATAACCTGTTGATGAATATGACATTGACTCATATTTTCTGAAAACACTAAAATTTATAACATGAATGAATTTCTTATTCGTTGAATTTATGAATTCTTGAGGTAATCTTATTCTAGTTTTATTTATCACTGGAAAATAACGCTTTACCATATTTTTAATCGTAATAAAAATGTCAATTATCAATATTATTTCGAAAATAGTTGTGAATTAAATTTAACAGTTAGCGGAATTTATAATGTTACTCTCGTTTCTGTGAGTGGTAAATTTAATCCCATTCTTTTAGACCCTTCAGATTATATATCATTTATTAAAGATGACCATGAGCCACATAGCGGCGGGGTGTAGACCATGAAAAAACGTATGATATGTATATAAATAATGTGATAGCGAAATGGGATATTAACATGATTTTTAAGTTATTTAAATGAATCATTTATCGTATGGTATGAAGAAAATTTTAAATCAAAACCTGATAAACTTTTTGAACTTGATGAAATAAATAACCTTATTAAATTTCCGCTGAAAATTAAATTTTGTACTCCTCATCTTCGTTCATTGTTGGGGATATTAAATTTTGAAAAAGATGTTGGGGATGTTTTGTATTCTGACACCGGTTCCAATTTCATTTTAATCAAATGTGATAAAGTTAATACCCCAATGAGATTTTCACATCAAACATTAGACCCTAACTCTTACCCATCAATACAAAACATTTTATCCATCAACTTAAACACATTTTCTTTATCATATCCGTTTCAATTATCCGGGAATTCATTTATTCTTCATTCAAAAGATTTATCAATATTAAATTTAGAATAACTGACCTATTTGATTGTGATTTAGAATTCATGAATGAAATATTATGGCAATTTCAAATAGAAAAAATAGCTGATGAGATAACGGATTAAATATTTATTTTTAAATCATAATAAATGATTAAACAACCAGCAACAACAAGGCACAAAACACCCAGGTCCTTCAGACCATTACATACGCCATATATGCATATAATTCAAAGACGGCAGAACAAACGCAAAGGTTGAAATATGGAGATTTGGAGATAGTATTGAAAAATGAACATTTCGAATTCGTTTGCAAAGGTGGTGCAGTGATATCAAATATAAAAGAAATTTTATTTATGAATTCAAAATTAAAGGTATAACGGATGATATAACATCAATTCCACCAGAAGAACAGAGATATTACGCATTAAATGCATTTCCTAAAGTTTTGAAGATTGGAAGATTTAATTTAAATGAGGAATTCATAGAAGGTTTCCTAAATGACATAATGAAGAAGGTGGATAAGGAATATGTGGAATAGGAATTAAATAAGAAGGCAAATTTGGTTTATGTTGAAGAAAAAGATAATGAAATTAAAGAAAAGGTTGAATGGTATCATGAATGGACATTTGAGACTTTTAAAGTTAAAGCTGATACAGAATGGTTTTCAGGATGTTTAGACCTTAAAGCAGATAAGAACCATACACATAACTCCTTCTCAACTGTTGCTATAGAAAGTATTGAAGGAACGGTTGGCGGAACTGATGGGGATGCATTATATTATAATCCTCCTAACTTTCCACAAGGTTTAACATCGAATGAAAACATAACAACGAAGAAAAAAATTAGATGTAAAAATGTTTATGTCATGGATGATGAAAATAAAGTTAAATTCACTGCTCAAGATTTATATGATAAGAAAGCAGACAAAACAGAGCTTCAAACATTAAAGACTGAAATTCTTCAAACATTATATCCTGTTGGTTCTATTTATACGTCAATGAACTCAACAAATCCATCAACAGTTTTAGGTTTTGGTACGTGGAAGCAGATTGTAGATAAATTCTTATACTGTGCTAGATATTCAAAGCAAACAGGAGGTTCGAAGAAAATTAAAGAAGCAAACCTTCCACCACACACTCATACAGGAACTACAAACACAACAGGTAATCATTCACATTCAAAAACAAAAAGAGGTTATACAAATCTTGCAGCGGGTTCGGCTAGATGGGGAATGAATAGATATGATATCACAACTAACCCAGTAGATTCAAGCACAGGTATTTTCTGTGGAACCACAGGTAATCATTCACACACTTTCACAACAAATCCAACAGGCTCGGGTAAAGATTATATGCCACCATTTGTGACTGTATTCGCATGGTACCGCATTCATTGAATGTGCTTGAGACTTGACCCAAAGGGTTTAGGCTTACCGAATGAACTAAATATATTTTATGTCTGTAATTAATTAGGTAATGAAGTAATGGATGAACTGCAGAAATAATGTTTAGGGTAGATGGTTAGATCTAACCTCATTTCTAACCTCATTTCTAACCTCATGATTTACAAACGTTTAACGTGATATACGTTATGAATTTTCATGAATTTTATCGTTAATGGTTTCGTTAAGTGACTCAAAGAGTCCGGAGACAAAGTCTCATGTTTACGTTAATGGTTTCAGGTTAATGTTTACGTTAATGTTTACGTTAATGGTTTCAGGTTATTCAATAATTAATTATTTTTGAAGAACTGAAGGTGTCACCAGGTCACCAGGTCACCAGGTTATTTAACTTCTCTGAAAAAATGAGACAACATGACATTTAGACAACAACACAGGAGGAAGGCAGTTATGAATTATTTTTGAAGAACTGAAGGTGTCACCATGTCACCAGGTCACCAGGTTATTTAACTTCTCTGAAAAAATGAGACAACATGACATTTAGACAACAACACAGGAGGAAGGCAGTTATGAATTATTTTTGAAGAACTGAAGGGGTCACCAGGTCACCAGGTCACCAGGTTATTTAACTTCTCTGAAAAAATGAGACAACATGACATTTAGACAACAACACAGGAGGAAGGCAGTTATGAATTATTTTTGAAGAACTGAAGGGGTCACCATGTCACCAGGTCACCAGGTTATTTAACTTCTCTGAAAAAATGAGACAACATGACATTTAGACAACAACACAGGAGGAAGGCAGTTATGAATTATTTTTGAAGAACTGAAGGTGTCACCATGTCACCAGGTCACCAGGTTATTTAACTTCTCTGAAAAAATGAGACAACATGACATTTAGACAACAACACAGGAGGAAGGCAGTTATGAATTATTTTTGAAGAACTGAAGGGGTCACCATGTCACCAGGTCACCAGGTTATTTAACTTCTCTGAAAAAATGAGACAACATGACATTTTGACAACAACACAGGAGGAAGGCAAAAATAAATTCCAATCATACTTTATAAAGCTTCATTTACAGGTATTTCATCGTCAGTAAATGAATCATCATTATCGTTTGGTTCAACCTGTTTATATAATCCTTTCATTTCTTCTTTCAAAACATAATACCATGTTTGTTTACCATCTATTTTTCTTTGTTTCCTATCACATTTATCCTTAATGCTCATTTGAAAATTCTTGTCTTTCATGTCTGATGGTTTGCAGAATAGAGCATTTTTACACGTCATACCTGCACACAATTCATCATAATGTGTATTTATCCATACATCTAAAGGATTTGTTGATAATTCAATTAAATCTTGTTTGGCTTCAGTCATCGGAATGATTCATACATTAAATGATGAAAGGTCATATTGCATAAAATATGTTAAAAGGTTATCATAAAATTCCTTTGTGCATGAATTCATCAAATTCTTGAAGTAATCAAATTGACCCTTGAATTTACCATTAACTCTTAAAACTACGTATCTTCTGTCTCCAACTTCAATTTTGACAGGGTAAACGTTATTAGTTACGAAAATGAAATTGGCAACATTCTGAGCAGTTCTTCTGGGTTGATTCTTTTCATTAATTCTAATCTCATTATCCGTTATAATTGATTTCAAAGCGTTGAAGTTTGCGAGTCTGTCTTCACCAACATTCTTGAGTTCATTAAGTACAAGAAACATTTTATTTTCAACAACTGAATTGAAATTACCCGTTAGCTCACCTATTTCAGTAATGTTTTTACATGAATAACCAGCGAGAAGTTCAGAAATAATGTCTGTAAATCTGTTTTTACCTGTTCCCTGAAGTCCTTTCAAAATAATTGCTGTTTCATTCTTGATTCCAGGATGTTGAATCATTGATGCAATCCAGCCGAGAAGGTATTTATACACTTCATCGTTATTATCACAAATGGCTTCTTTAATGAAATTCATAAACATCTCAATTTTTGAGTAATCAAGCTTTTCGAGAATGTTGTATTTATAACCTTGAAACGTTGAGAAAACATCTGGGGAATCAGATTTAAAGCAAACACCCTTAAAGGTTAATGAAGACAATTGATTTAGTAGTACATCCCATGCTGTTATTGTTTTACCTTCTTCTTTAAATAATTTAATCATTTTGAGTGACTCTTTCATGTTTGATTGAAGAACGAATGATATTTGATTCATTTTCTCGTGGATATTATAGTCCTTTTGAATGAAGTATTTGTTTCCACAATCTACAAAACGGATGACACGTGATAAATCCTCAATTACTTCAGAACTGTTTTTATACTGATGATTTTCAGCCTTGCGTCTAATATCTGTTATCAAAAACGAGTCATCAAGTTTTATATCAAATGTTATTTTTGGCTTACGTAATAAAGGTGAAACGTATTCATCATAATATTCCTTTTGATAAAGTTTTAGAATCTTCACTAAAACAAATGGAGAAGTCATTAAATGTGCATATCTACTACGTGCTTTTTCAAAATTACTTTTTGCATTTTCAGTTAAGCTGCAGAAGTTATAAACGTTGTCGTATGCTTCATTAATTAAATGATTAGGTAACGAATTAATTGCTTGAAACAGTGTGAATAATGTTATTTCTTTTTCCAAATTCATGTTTCCACCGTCATTATGTACTTCAAAATCACTGATGCCATCAACTATGCTCTGGGCAAGTTTATCGTCAATGTTTACATCTTTGTTTTCATTCATTATACTCTTTATTTCTTCGTTCTTTTGTTCAACTCTTACCTTAATATTCAAATCATTTAATATATCATTCACTGTTCTGGTTAATGTTGAATCATAACTTCCGCGAATGAATGAGTATGTATTGATTGGTTCTGATGCATTCTTGCGAACTCTTGAATCAGCCATAACCACTAATGAACGCTTTGAATCATCCATAGAAGTCATTATATCAATATCATAATCATTGCAAGAATAACATTTAATCATTCTGTTCGAAACTGCATAGAAAAAATTAGTGTTGCAATAAATGTGAAGACCTCCTGAAGCAGTTTTAACGATAACATCTTTATCCGAAAGTTTTGATAAAATGTCTTTTCTAACTGTTTCTTTAAGTTCATCATTGTACGATTTATTGATATCAATATCTATAATCGTTAAATTTGAAATTTTATTTACTAATAAAGCTGTACCAGTTTTCCTTCCTCTTCCTCCATCATGTTTGAGGTAGTTATGTAAATCAATCTTGTTTTCACCAATTCTTTCGTTGAGGGTTTTAGTTTCTGCCACAACTAATTCCTCAGCTAATGAATCAATAACTTTTTCATCAGAAATGATAAAGTTGCTGTTGTTGTTTGTTGCTGTCATTTATATAGGAATAAAAAAATAAAAATAATTTTAAAACTAACTTTATTTTTGGGTCATTTACACTCATTACGATGAAGTCATGACAAATCATTTCCTGTGTTGTTGTCAAAATGTCATGAGGTTAGAAATGAGGTTAGAAATGAGGTTAGATCTAACCATCTACCCTAAAAATTATTTTACTCAGAATTTTGTATAAAAAAACAACCGCCGGAATTCAGACGGTTGCTATATTCTTCACAAAACATTAACGTAAACATTAACGATAAAATATATTTTTGTCTGATTTACACTCATTTACGATGAAGTCATGACAAATCATTTCCTGTGTTGTTGTCAAAATGTCATGTTGTCTCATTTTTTCAGAGAAGTTAAATAACCTGGTGACCTGGTGACATGGTGACCCCTTCAGTTCTTCAAAAATAATTCATAACTGCCTTCCTCCTGTGTTGTTGTCTAAATGTCATGTTGTCTCATTTTTTCAGAGAAGTTAAATAACCTGGTGACCTGGTGACCTGGTGACACCTTCAGTTCTTCAAAAATAATTAATTATTGAATAACCTGAAAACATTAACGTAAACATTAACGTAAACATATATTTCCTGTGTTGTTGTCAAAATGTCATGTTGTCTCAAACTTTAGAACGGCATAATTTAAATTTTTATTTTTATCATAAATGGATACCCCACAAGCTCAAAATTTACCACGAATCATAACAAGGGAGGAAACGATAAAAATGATGTGAGAACTTGCTAAAAATAACAAACCACTAAAACTGAGAAAATGTGGTTATGCAGTAATGATGGAAAGAGAGATGTTGTCAAAGAGAAATAAAAATTAAATTTGGATTGAGTTTAAAAATTCATCTTTATTAAATTCATCTCTTCCAATCAATTTATTTATTCTATTAAATTCTTTTATTTTTGCTTCACTCAGTTTAATGATTGAACGATAAGTTTCTAATTTTTCGATTATTTCCTTATCGTTTTCAGCCCCACCGCATTGTGGCTTCTTTTTGTAATAGCATATTTTTGATTTAATTCTGTTTAGTTTCTTTTTATATTCATCGTCTGGACTCTGAATCTTAATTGAATCAGGACTCTTGACTGCTTTGTTGTCACTCATTTCTTACGAAATAAAAAAAATTAAATATTATTTAAATATAATGGAGTAATAAAATAAATCGGAATTTCTATTAATTTATTGTCAACTTCAACTAATGCATTGCCGTTAATATATCTAACAAATTCAGCTATTGTGTCAAATCTTCGTCTTCTTTTTGTCATTGATTTATCAGTTTTTCCATAATCGAGATGAATCAAAACTTTATCCCCTTGTTTAAAATTCATGAGCCCCGAATTAATTTGTTCACGTTTAACATCATTCAACCTTTCCATTTGCTTTCTAATATATTCCCATTCTTTTGAAATATCATTTTTCATTTCCACTGGTTTCATGTTTATGTTCTATGCCATGTATTATTGTAATAATATACTAACTGTTGTATGATGGAGTCATGATTTCCATCCCAGTATATCTGACCGTTAACCCCTAACGCATCTCTAAGAGTTCTCATTACCGCATCAACTATTTTATTATGAAACGTATATGGAGAGGATGAAAAGAAAAAATTAATTTGTGGGAAATAATGAGCCATAGCTGCCTGAAATCCTTTATCACCATCACCCCTGATATTATCTACTCTTTCATGATCTAGTAAGTATTGTAATAGCTCTTCTTGTTTCCTGTTCTGTTTTCCCTTTCACCGGAATGCAATATAAATATCTAGTGTTAATGTTAATGGCAAATAAATAAGTAACTTTTCCTTTTGAATATTCCAGATGATCTATTTCGTATGAATATGGATATGGAGCAAATGAAGGGCGACTAAATTTTTCCTTTAACGGTTGAATTTTCGGGTCAATTGGTTTATTTAATATCTTGAAATCCTTTTTAAAATCTTTTTGCTTCTTTAATGTTTGAAATGGATATAATAAAGTGAATGATGAAGGATTAACTGAAGGAGGAGGCGGTACTGTCGTTGGAGGTTTTGGTGTTGCAAGTGGTTTAATTTTATCTGCTTTGATTTTGGATTTCATTCCTTCCTTCATTAATTCTGGATGTATTCTATTCATTTGTTTTAAATATGCTGTATATAAAGGTTTGATATACTTTCCCGCTTCGAGTTTATGTTGAAGGATGAATTCCAAAAGTTGATCTTCATTTAAAAGTCGGGCTGAATATGGTTTAACTAATGAATCATAAATTAAAGCTTGTGCTTCATTTATGGTCTGAAGGACCTGGGTGTTTTGCACCTTTTGTTTTTGTTCCTTTGGCTTTTGCGGCTCAGGATTATATAATTTATATAATTCATCAATATCTTCTTCTGTTAATACTTTATTTTTGAAATCTTTCAACTGTTTAAGTTGTGATTTAGTTTTTCCCTTTGAATATTCATTATTTTTAATTTTGTCTTTAATTTCAGAAATTATTTTATTATGATATTTCAAAATTTCATTTTTATAATATGGATAATAATATTCCATATCATCACCCGTTATATTATTATTATATTTTTGGAGATATGATTTTAAATCGTAATAATCAAGAAAATTTTGATTAAATACTAAATCATCAATTAAAATTTTTAAATCTACGTTATCCATTTATATAAAAATAAAATAAATGTTTAAGGGTGCCCACCTCTTTGAATCATAGTATCAAAACCATCATTAACGGTTCCTTTTGTCTCTTCTGTGGCATTTCATTAAAAATAAATTATTCAAAATTGTATTAAATAAATGGCATACAACATCCATTTTCACAACATACAGCCTTAGTGTGTGCTCCTGTTAATGCAGTCTTACCGATTGTTAAGCGAGTCATTGACCCGTTTTTAAGTTGTAAATTAATATTCTGACCATCAAATATCACTTTATCATTTATTATATCCAAATATTTTTTAGGTGTTAATTGCTTATTTTGTCATAAACTAACACCCTTCATTTTTTGTGCAATCTTTTTAAAATCATTTCCATCAATTGAACCGTTGAATGATGTATAACACTTAGGACATAACGCCACCATGTTATCACCTTGTTTCTCAATTGCTAAACCCAATAACTTCTTCTCATGTGCTTTTTCTTCAGCTTTATTCTTTAATTTAGGTTTAAATTTCTCATCAAAACAGAAGAAATCAAATGGTGCGAATTTGAAAATGTTTTTATCATAAAATTGTTTATCGGTAACAATTGCTTGAAATGCTTGAGTGTTAGGAAGACTTGGGTCGCCAGCGATTGCCCAATAAGATGAATCAGTATCACCTTCAATGAAATGAAAACGATTAACATCCATGCATTTATACATAAAATCATAAATGAAAACCAAATACCAGTATTTAGCATTATCTAAAGTGAAGAATGCCTCTTGTAAACATGTATCACATCTATAAAATCTATCTTTAAGCATCACTTGATATGTATCTTCACCTATTTCTCTTATGTTTTTAAACTTATTTGACATACATGCAACGCGTGCCTTCTGTGCATTCATTATTTTAGTCTTTGCGTAATTTTGTGTATTCATTGCATCGTAACCATATGATCCATTAAGCGAAATCTTGCAAAATAAACTTTTTCCTTTATTTCCTTCTAATTCAGCCTTTTGTCTTTCGTTCATAAATTTGTTCGCAAATTCATTAAAACAGGTGTTTTTCGTAAATGTTAAAATTGATTGAATATCATCGATGATAAAATGAAATCTGTCTATTAGATACCAAAGATAATAAGAAGAAAATGGTTGATATTGGTTGTGTGTTGATGCTAACTGAGTTAATTTCCTCTGTTTCTGGTCAACTGGTAGATTGTTTGATTTCATGTAATTATACATAAAACTGCCAATTGTTTTTTCATCTGTGATAATATCTAAGTTTCTTATTATCGGTAAAAAGTTTATGTAATCATTAATGTATTTTTCATCAATGTGACCCTTTACTTCAGCCACGAATAAAGTATTTTTCTTCTTAATTATTCCCAGTGCTTTTGCTTTCTTTGTTGCTGTATCACAAATGATAACACCATTCAATCTTCCCGGCATATACATTTTATGGTCAGTATATTGAATGAAATCATGAGGATTAGATGAAAATGATGAAGGATATAATGAATTAAAGTCAACACCAACGAAATGAGTCATAATGTTGGAAGTGTCCTCATTTGATACAGTTTTAGTTTCTGGATTATATGAAAGTTTATTAATGTGCGTGATTCCTTTAAGATTAACACGATGTTGAACATTTGATAAACCACCAGTAATTCCATTACGGAGAATGTGATAAGCTTCAACTGAATCTAAAGTCATTGGTAAATTATTTTTTAATGCATAATTTCTTAAATTGATTCTTAAACGTTGAACATCTTCATCTTTATTTGATTTTACGACATTGCAATAACAACACATTAACTGACAATTTTCTTTAGTATGTGGTTTTTCATTATCGATTCTATCCAATGTTGGTTTATTTGCATATGTAAACGCTTTACCACACATTTTGCATTTAGATGAAAGGATTAAATCGTGATAGTATTGAAAATCATCCATTGAAACATTATTTTTAGTATCCCTTTCTGCTTTTTCATCTTGTTTCTTATATGATTCAATTTTATATTTCCAATACTTTTTCGTTAATTCAAAACTTGATTCTATCTCTTCCTCAGGATATTTTTCATTAGGATTAAAGTCTTTATATGCTAAAGCGTAACGAATCATTGAAGCATTCGATGATAAAGAAAGATTATGAAGCATGTCAATTTTATAAACAAATGTTTCTTCATAATTTTATCAATTGGTCAATCATAATTTCAACATCTTTATTGCAATAATGAATAAAATATTCTAATCTATTCTTAAAGTTTTTAGCATCATTGAGATATATTTGATAATCACTATCTGATATAGTTTCTTGGTTAATGCTGAATAAAATGAATCTTGAGTGAATGGTTCCACTTTATATAATTCTTCTTCGTAATTTTCCCATGTGATGAATTGATAAGGGAAAAAGGATTTAACACGTGATTTATTGTTTCCGAAATCTTGAGTGAATTGGTCTAATGTCCCACCCGCTATATAATTTCTGATGTCAATAAATCTCAATTCATATGGAGTTTTGTTTTCTTTACAATGATTTGCTTAAATTGTGAAGATGAACCCAGCATTGATTTTATTTTCCATTTTGCAGTGTTTAAATCACGAAGAATTAAATTTAAATCAAACTTTCCCGAATTAAAACCTATGATATTCACTTTATTGAATTCCTCATCTAGAAGTTCTTTAAATGCTTCCTTCTGTTTTTCATTTAATGTATGAGACAAAGTCCCCGCCGTTTGGTCCGTTTGCGACTTCATTAATTCTTCATATTGTTCAATATTTGATTTAGCAACTAATGAACAGGTTGAAAATAAAAACTCAATCCAATCAGAAATAAAAGAATCACTCGAAGTTAAGCAAAAATTCCTCGTATATGTTTTATCATTTAATTTAACCGTTGATGATACCATGAATGGTTTTAAGTAAGCTTCAAAGTTGCACACTCAGAAAGTTGTAATTCTTCTTTAGTCTCTAATGTTTCAAAGTCAAAAGTAATATAATATCTTGTCGGTTTATAATATTTGCAAATTGTGAGCTAATAACCACTGATATATCTTCTGTTTCGTAATATGTGGTGCATATGGTTGCTGTGTCTTTTGCAATGAACGTCTTGAATTAATCTTCCATTATTTTCTTTACATTTCTCACAATGCTTTAAAAATCTTCTTTGGTTTTTCCTTTCTGGATCATCACGGATAGAATAAACTTCTTCTTTACAATATGGACAAACTCTATAGCCGGTGAGTGCTTCAACGTCTGTTATTCTGTCAGCGTGAAGTTTTCCACATGGACTCTGTGTTAATAAAATATTTACTGTTTCAAATTCTGGATCTATCATTATTGATTCCACTAATGGAAAGTCTACCTTATTTATGTCCACGTCTTCTGGTTGAGGATCACAATAATAGAAATCAATATTAACATTTAACATTCTCGCTAATCTCTCACTTTCTGATGAAATGTCAAACCCTTCATATGAATCTATTGCTTCATTTAAATAACTTCTACGAGTTTTAGGATTAACACCATCAGGAATGTTATAGAAGCGTTTAAATAACCTTCTACCTTCTGCTCTAATTTGATTATCATTCATTTTAGCTGTTCCGTTTTTGTTCATTTATGTAAGAATAAAAATTAAATAAAAATAAAGTTTATTCTTTAAAGCCCATAAAATGAATTAAGAATACATAAATTTTTATCATCTGCGACGTGACGAATACATTTTAATTTACTCAAGAATGCATACCCTGATACATTAAATCTAATTCCTGTCTTATTTAATTTCACAACTTTGAAAAGGAATGTATGAATAGCTATAAAATGATGAGAAGATGTTTTATGGGTTGCTTCCATTTTTTCTGAAATAAATGAATAAATATAATGCTTATACGTTTTCATATCTTTTATATTCTTAATAACGAATGGTATAGACCTTTCCACTTCGTCTTCCTTCGGTGCTGTTCTTTCATATGAAACATTATTGGTATCTTCAATAATGAAACCACAATCACACAAAATTTTATATGTTCCAATGGTTTCTTTTGATATTTTATCTAATAAATCAAAAACTTTATCAACACCCGTGCATTTATTTAAATAATAATTTGTGTAAATATCATGATCTTCTTTCTTAATCGTATTAGTTGCATATGTCACGTTTTTAAGAGCTTTTTTGAATTTCTCAGAATCGAGAGGGGGTGAAAGTAAGATACAAGGGTATTTTTCATTATCAATAAATTGTAACTTATGTTTACGAATAAATTTAGTACCTTCTTCTGAAAGTGTTTCGTCTATTTCACCATCTAATAAATTTTGTGTTGATTCTGAGACATAATTTTTATATCTTTCTTCATGAGATTTCTGAACTGCTGATTCTGAAGCTGGGATATTCATTAAACCCTCTACTTCATTTTCATTATATTTTTCAACTTCTCTTAATTCCTTAATTTTTTCATCTATTTCATCTCTTATTTTTTCCAGTTTTTCAATTTCATCGTATTCATCATCTTTAATCCGTTCTTCATAATATTCAGGGAAAACATCAGGTTCTTTAGGTTTTTCTTCTTCAGATGTGGGATATAAGAAATTTATAACATCATCTTTATTCATTTTTCCATCATAATCTAAATCATTTAATAACTCGGCAAATTTTTGACAATTTCTTAAATAATATTTACTAACTTCATAACACATCTCATCTAATATATCCTTTATTTCCTCGTTTGTGAATCCTAATTTTTTAACGTTGTTAGTTTTGACGCTCATTTCATACGAATTAAAAATAAATTATTCAAAAATGTAAGACATGAATTTTTAAAGTTTATTTTTTTTATTTTTTATTTCATTATGGTAGTGAATCTTTCATTCATGAAAATAATTATTTCTAATTTCTTTTACTCTCTCGTACATACTAGATTTGAAGAATTCAGAACATTTCCCATAATCTCCTAAATGTTTTCTTATCCCTAACGTGTGCCAGTTATTATATGAAACTGTATAAACTTTATCTTTATCTTTGCATCTTTCATCACTTCCAATATATTTATATTTCAATTTTGATTTATTGGTTTCATATTCATTAGCGTTTAATAATTTACAGTCTTCCTTTTTAAATTGATGTTTAAGATATTCAGGATTTAATACTCTACGTTTACATGCTCCTAACTTAGTTCTAAAGGTTTTTCTACAAAATTTAGGAATTCCATCCTCTTTAATGTCATCAATGATTTCCATTTCATTATTTTCAATTTCTTCTTCTCGTTTATGAGGTCTTTGATTATGACTCCATTGATTCCATGAAATTAAATATTCTTTATCATTATATTTATACCTCATTAGCTTATTTTGGCTTTCATATTCATTTAATAATTCACAGTCTTCATTTTTAAATTGAAGTTTAACCCATTCAGGATTTAAACAATGTTTAATTAATCGCGGAATATCTGACATCATCTATATATAGCTTCTTTTATAAAAGATAAAAAAATAAATTATTTTAAAATTAATGTTAATTTTTTAAATGATTTATAAATAAATATATTTTAATGCATCGTCTATATATAGATGTAACAAAAAAAGTCACACAACCCTTCCTATCCTACTACTAATAAATGTGAAAAGAAAGAAAATTTCATAAATCAATGATAAATATGAAAAGAAAGAGAATAAGTTTCATGTTAACATCAGAACAGTGCTCAACTAAGAATTTGACAATTTCTATCGAATTCGCTTTGATTGCAATGCTAAGAGGGCATTCAATAATATCGAGAGAATTTCATAAAGCAATGATAAATGTGAAAAGAAAGAGAATTCTATAAATCAATGATTAATATGAAAAGAAAAAGAATCATATAAAACAATGATAAATATGAAAATAGAGATAATGTAATAAAACAATGATAAATGTGAAAAGAAAGAAAATTTCATAAAACAATCATATTTGTTGGAAATCAAATGGATTGTTATTTCATCTGATTAAATTTAAATGAAATTGATTGATTTTCTTTGCAAATTGATTGTTTAGGAAAATTCATAAATAATCTTGAAAAATATTGATAGAATAGCACATAATGGCATTATCGAGTTATAACATTGTGCAATGCAGGTTTTGATTTAGATATCTCCCTTTGATATTAGAGTGCAACAAAAGTTCAAACTCATTCCTCAAAATTGAATTATAAATGTTTCAAATAGAATAAATGAAAATATAGTACTAAATTGCATGGGATACTTTTTTATTTCAGACTTTAGAATTTTTGAGATAGCTTCTGAATGTAGATTTTATTGAAATATAATTAAAAAAAATATAGAAAATATTGAACTATAATATTTCACATATAATACAATAGAGAAAATTTTTACGATAAATAATTTAATTCCATTTTCTCAATTTTTTGAATACTGTAAAGTATTTAAAATGGTTTTATTCAATTTTAATATTTAATTCAATTTAAAAATTTCATCAAATAGATATTTTAAAGATGAAAAATAGGAATTTTTTGTTTCAATATAATATTATACACATAATTTAAAAAAAAATAAAAAATATATATGTAAATCTGAGTTTTTTATTGTTCATCCGTTCTTCAATCTTCAAAATTTTGAATTCTGCCGAAATTCAATTTTTTTTTCACTATCATTATTCAAATTGAAAAAAATTCAAATTACTTCAATTGATTAATTTTTTATCAATTTATTTATTTATAGATTTTAAACTCATTTATATTAATTGTCAAAATAATTTTCAATTTTGTATTTTCCACAAAAAATTACGCTTATTGTTTTTTCATAATTTATTATTTATCAAGTATTATAGCTGATAAAATTTTTTCTGTTTATTTTTCCCTATTTTTTTTTCAAAATTCTTGATATTTTTAATATTTTTTTTCCCAATATCTGTTAATTTTTAAATTTAAATCATAAAAATATTTATAAAATATAGATATTTTCGTTCATTCAATCTCTATCCCTCATTAATTCAAGTTTTAATTCTAATTACATATCTGAATACATTGATGAATTTCGTTACATATAGAAACAATAATAAATATATGTCTAAAAAATTTAAAATAATTATACATTTTCTTTTATTTTATTTTTAAGAATGCAAAGTTGATCTTCTATAATTTAAAATGTATTTATTATATACTCAATGTTATGTGAATTTTTGCAAATTAAATTTATATTGAATGCATTATAAGAATCGTTTCTTACCTATGCATATACTGATATAATGATATTATGAAGTATATGATGGCATATTTTAATTAATGTCATAATACAAAGTATTTTCGATCATAGCTGTGATCGAAAATATAAAGAGTCCTTTATAAAAAATCAATAGAAATAAACTAAGGTAATTTAAAAGCCTTCAAAACAGAATAATGAGGACATTTCTTACAAAAATCTCCTTTCAGCGCCAAAAACTTTATATATAAGTAAACCAAGATATGTACTCTCTCGAAATTGATTCTTATACTTTTAAATAAAAATCAGTTTCGATTTTTTATCGAACGATTAAAAATTTAGTCAATAAATTTAATGCTATTATCTGAAACCAAGGGTGACACATCATCATTAGATGCTGCCCCTCATGAATATGATGCTGTGACAGAGAATTTTGGAAGCGTATATTCACGAAGATCACCTAATTATAAAACATCAGCGAGCAAAGGCGGAAAGCGATTGCCAGATTATGCGTTCGAAAAATCGGAAATGGCTACAGATATTGAGTATCTAAGGAAGCAACAAAGCTTAAAAAATGAAAAGCGAGATGAACTTGAAAATGGAGGCCACGGAAAAAGAGCAAGAAGTTCAGCGAAATGCCCACCAGAGTATATCGAACCCAAAGTACAATCACCTCCTCGAGATATTAGAAAAATACCTGATTCCGAAATACAAAATAAATCTTTACTTAAAAAGCCAGAACCAAAGTCGGTTCCTACCACTCCTATGCTTGATTCCATAAATACTTCATCAAGGCCAAAGCCGATTGTACAATTTAATGTGGCCCCACAAGCAGCAAGAGATGTATTTAGACCTCCTACTCCAATTCCATTTATGCCTAGAGTTAATTCATTGCCATATGTAGGCGCTCCAGATGATCCATTCGATTTACCAAACGTTGAAGATAACTATAATTTACAAACTTCCATAGGAGAAGACGCATTTGATTTGTCATACAGTAACACACCAATAGTATCTCGATCTAACTCTATTTCGCAAAAATCAATTCCACTAGATTCGGAATACCTTCCTCCATTAGAATTAAATTACCCTCAATATCCTCGTGTTGAATCTCCATTATCACCTAGAAGTTCTCCTTCAATCAGAGAAAGGACACCAATAGATGAATTATTTCCAATACGAAACAAAGCCCCTGTATACAAAAGAACTTGGTTTATTGTTATTATGATTCTTGCATTACTTTTGCTTATTCTCTTTTTCTTGTAAATTTACTGTTTTATTTTAAATTTTTCTCATAAGATCTCTTGTCCTATATATCAAAACACTTTTTCTACTAAAATAATCAAAATACTATGATTTCACAAATTATTTAAAAGAAAAAAAAATTATTAATTATTTATAGCCTGAGGTTCAATTCTGAGTTTGAATTCGGATGTGTCTCCAGTATTGATTTGGACCTCTAAAATTCCTTCTTTCGAGATATGGATTAATGTTTCTTTTCCCGAAAGAATCCACAAAGACTTAACAAGAGGGATGAATGAATGGAAGGAATACGAGCTGTTAATTTCATCTCCTAATCCTCTGAAATCACCTATTCCATTTTTCAGTTCAGCGCTTGTATCGCCAAATGCGCATTTTGTTGTAATTGAAAGCGCCTTGTTAGTAGAATATCCTCTAATGGCTATTTCGTGAGGAGCTCCAACAAGTTTGAAGAGCTCATATAATGCACTCGTTTGAATTGTGGCATTGAACTCTGCAATGATCGGAGGAAAATTGATTTTAGGGAGCGGGACCAAGGTTCTTACAAAACACATGGCAGATGACATTGTTGCTGATATTTCAACTTCAATTGTAACTAGATCTTTGGCTCGTATTATTGTTTCGAATGATGAATTTGAGAAGATTTTAAGACATGAGAGAAATTTGGATAAATTGATAGTCATTCTTACGGGATTAGCTTCGACAAAGCAATATGATGTAAATTTAGCTGCAGGAATAACGATATTCATTGAAACACTTGAATTATCATTAACTTCAAACCGAAACCCGTGTTCATCAACTTCTAGTACTCCTAACTGATTGTGTTGCTTATAAACTGCAGGAGAAATTACACGAATAAGATCTCTTGGAGAATCTGTAGCGCACGAAAACAACATTTTGAATAGTTTACAAAGGTTCCCCAGGGAACTAAATAACCGCCAGGGAAATTTTGGATTTTTCTTGAGAAATATCACAATAAATCAAATAGTGATTATAATATTTCGATCTAAAATCGAAATTTTTGTCATTCTTCAAATGAGAGATACTTTAATTGACACTCTGCTTTGGATCATTGCTTTCATTGTAACTTGTATTGCTTCATTGGAGATAGTACATTCGATCCCCAAGCCAACCAATGATTATTCAAGGTATTGGAGTGAAAATGCAAAATCCACTGAATTTAATGTTTCGGATTGTTGCATAGCGACAATATTCGACTCCTCAACATATAGAAATGCTGTTGCTCTTGGATATTCATTACAACAACTTGGAATTCCTGGAATCAGAGCATATAGCTTCTCACAGAGCTTATTTAGCGATGACCAGCTAGCAATACTGAATCATTTGTATAACTTCACGCACTATTCACCCAGTAATCTAAGCGGAAGCTCTTCAGATGAGTTATATTTTTCGCTTAATGATTGTAATGCCGTTATTGCAGTAAGTCCACGGGGCGTGTTTTATAGTTTTCCATACAAAGCATGCCTTTCACCAGGATTTTCAGCTGTTCCACAAAGCCAAGATATTACTTCGTACGATCCTTCTTTTATTGTCATAAATCCGAATGACAAGCATGATTTCCATAATGTTAGCAAAGGATTCTTGCAAAACCTCCAAGAATGGCATTCATTATCTCCTGAATCCTCAGTTGAAGATTACGAAAACCATTTTTTGGACTTTTGGACTCGGTTTGGTTCTCCAGCATACGTTCATTACGATTCAAGCATGTATGATACATATCTTGCAAATAACAAAAAAGTTGGTACCTCAAGCAGACTATTTGCAATGATAAAGAACATACTAATAGAGACAGATCAGAGTGTCAAAGCTTACTGATTCTATCTTATATTATCTTGCCTTTTTATTGTTAGAATTATCTTTTATTACTTTTTTTTCAGTTATTTCTCTGCTTTTACCGTGTTTTTGTTCAACTTTGACGACACCACACGCTATGTATCTCCTGATTTTGCTGCTCACATGCTGACCATTTCAGTTTCACACTTTTTAATTTGCTATCATTTCAAGTCTTCTTTTATGCATATGATACGAAATGCATATTGATTCTATCTTATATTATCTTGTCTTTTTATTGTTAGAATTATCTTTTATTACTTTTTTTTCAGTTATTTCTCTGCTTTTACCATGTTTTTGTTCAACTTTGACGACACCACACGCTATGTATCTCCTGATTTTGCTGCTCAAATGCTAATAAAAATATCTAATAATTTATATTTTCTTTATCTTTTCTTGCTTAAATCCTTCATCTCTAATTATTTACATATATGCATAACTTATTAAGTAGATGCAATATAACTGGGACCTTTACCCAGCCATAAATCTCCTATCATTGAAACATTACAAAATTAATAAAATAAAACAATTTATTTATTCAAAAAACTGATAATCTTATTGTGGAGGGAGAGGTTGAGCTCTAAACACAAGTTGAACATTAGCAATTTGTGGAAGGTCAACAAATACTTGTGAGAATTGTGGAGCGTCAGCCGCGCCAGCTGGACTGCCGCTGTTCAATTTCTCTTCAAGTTCAGCGACCTTTTCGCGAAGTTCTTGCAATTCATTTGCAATGTTCTTTGGTACTTCATCCTCTGAATCACTTGAGGAGCTTGAAGATGATGAGCCTTTCTTCTTAGAATCTTGAAGTTTATCTTCTAAATCGTTAAGGCGATCATTGAGTTGCTGAATCTTATCTGCTGTGTCGGCGCCAGCTTCCTGAGCAGATTTTTCAGCATCATCTAAGGCCTTTTCAAGTTTGGCAATTTTATCTTCGAGTTGATCCTTAGTATTGTTAAGATCATCCTTTGTGGCAGCATCATCTTGGTTCTTCATTTGTTCTAAAATATTATCTGTATCTTGTCTTATATCTTGGATTTCTTGTGCATGCTTGTTTGCGGTATCGTCTGTCTCATTTTCGAGATTTTCAATGCGATCGGAAAGCTTCTTTTCGACTTCATCAATCTTTTCTGGGATATCGTTTTCTTGTTGAGCAACAGCACTAATTGCTGCAACTGATTGCTGAAGATCAGAAATATCATCGAATCTCTTTTCGTCATCATCTTCATTTCCGGATTGAAGTTGTCTCATTTCATCTTTGAGTTCATTAATTTCATCTTGAGCATTTTGAAGTTGAAGTTTAAGTTGTTCGATCTCATCATGATTCTTTTCAGCATCATTCTGTGCCTGATCTATTCTATCTTGATTTTCTTGGTTATCAGCAATTAATGATTTGAGATCATTGAGTTGCTTAGCCAAATCGTTAATTTGTTGTTTGAGATCTTTTACTTCTTGTGAAGGTTCTGAAGAATCTGAATCAGAAGAATCTGATTTAGTTGCAAAGACCTTTGGAGCATCTTCTGCACCAACTTCAGAAACAGGAGTGTTAGCAAGTTTATCTTCAAGTTCAGATACACGCTTATTAAGTTCTTCGAATTTTTCAGGATCGATGTCGTTGAGAACATTGAGAGTTGTCAAGGCAGCAGGTGAGATTCTGCGTTCTTCATCATCTGAAGAAGAATGACTTGATGAATCACTTTGCAATTTGTTGAGACGTTTCTCGATATCATTCATTCTCTTTTCAAGGGCATCAATATCGAATGGTTGGTCGTTTTCGTCCTTGCCGGAGCAAACAACTGGGGCATCCTCGGCGGCGGACTCGGCAACTGGTGTATCGGCAAGCTTCTTCTCGAGATCGTCAACGCGCTTGGCAAGCTCTGCAAGAGCTGGTGTGTCTTCGTTCTCGAGGGCCTTGAGGGCGGCTTGGGCGGCTGGGCTGATGACTTCTTCTTCGTCACCCTTGTCCTCGCCCTTGTCGCTGGAGCTGCTGCTGCTGCTGCTGGACTTCTTCTTGTCGGCAAGCTCCTTAAGCTTGTCTTCGAGATCGTCGACCTTCTTCTTGAGATCGTCGGCATCCTTGGCCTTCTCTTCGAGATCGTCGACCTTCTTCTTGAGATCGTCGGCATCCTTGGCCTTCTCTTCGAGATCGTCGACCTTCTTCTTGAGTTCGGCAACTTCGGCTGGGTCGGCCTTGGCTTCGTCTTCGTCCTTGCCGGAGCAAACAACTGGGGCATCCTCGGCGGCGGACTCGGCAACTGGTGTATCGGCAAGCTTCTTCTCGAGATCGTCAACGCGCTTGGCAAGCTCTGCAAGAGCCTGTGGATCTTGATCGTCAAGAATCTTCAATGTTGTCTTAGCAGCTGGACTGATAACATCTTCATCATCGCTGTTGTCGCTTGAGCTGCTGCTAGACTTCTTCTTGTCAGCTAGATCCTTGACTTTGTCTTCGAGATCATCAACTTTCTTCTTCAGTTTGGCAACTTCGTCTGCATCGGCTGGGTTGGAAGCAAAGCCGGATCTTGGTTGGCCTTCAGAGTCATCGAGGATCTTCAATGTGGTCTTAGCAGCTGGGCTGATCTCATCTTCAGAGTCGGATGAGCTGCTAGAATGATTCTTGCCATGTGTATCCTTAAGCTTGTCTTCGAGGTCTTCTAACTTCTTCTTGAGCTCATCGATCTGATCTTCATCATTCTTAGCCTTTTCTTCGAGATCATCGACACGCTTGTTGAGATCATTGACATCGTTAAGAGCGTCGGTTGGGTCGATGTCGCGGGTGGCACAAACAACTGGAACATCATTGGCCTCGTCTTTATCAACTGGTGTATCGGCAAGCTTCTTCTCGAGATCGTCAACGCGCTTGGCAAGCTCTGCAAGAGCTGGTGTGTCTTCGTTCTCGAGGGCCTTGAGGGCGGCTTGGGCGGCTGGGCTGATGACTTCTTCTTCGTCACCCTTGTCTTCGCCCTTGTCGCTGGAGCTGCTGCTGCTGCTGCTGGACTTCTTCTTGTCGGCAAGCTCCTTAAGCTTGTCTTCGAGATCGTCGACCTTCTTCTTGAGATCGTCGGCATCCTTGGCCTTCTCTTCGAGATCGTCGACCTTCTTCTTGAGATCGTCGGCATCCTTGGCCTTCTCTTCGAGATCGTCGACCTTCTTCTTGAGATCGTCGGCATCCTTGGCCTTCTCTTCGAGATCGTCGACCTTCTTCTTGAGTTCGGCAACTTCATCGGCGTCGGCTGGGTTAGAGGCAACGGTTGATGTTGGTTCGCCATCAGAGCCGTCAAGAACCTTTAATGTGGTCTTGGCTGCTGGGCTGATTTCATCTTCGTCGTTGCTGTTGTCGCTGCTGCTGCTGCTGGACTTCTTCTTGTCGGCAAGCTCCTTAAGCTTGTCTTCGAGATCGTCGACCTTCTTCTTGAGTTCGGCAACTTCGGCTGGGTCGGCCTTGGCTTCGTCTTCGTCCTTGCCGGAGCAAACAACTGGGGCATCCTCGGCGGCGGACTCGGCAACTGGTGTATCGGCAAGCTTCTTCTCGAGATCGTCAACGCGCTTGGCAAGCTCTGCAAGAGCTGGTGTGTCTTCGTTCTCGAGGGCCTTGAGGGCGGCTTGGGCGGCTGGGCTGATGACTTCTTCTTCGTCACCCTTGTCCTCGCCCTTGTCGCTGGAGCTGCTGCTGCTGCTGCTGGACTTCTTCTTGTCGGCAAGCTCCTTAAGCTTGTCTTCGAGATCGTCGACCTTCTTCTTGAGATCGTCGGCATCCTTGGCCTTCTCTTCGAGATCGTCGACCTTCTTCTTGAGATCGTCGGCATCCTTGGCCTTCTCTTCGAGATCGTCGACCTTCTTCTTGAGTTCGGCAACTTCGGCTGGGTCGGCCTTGGCTTCGTCTTCGTCCTTGCCGGAGCAAACAACTGGGGCATCCTCGGCGGCGGACTCGGCAACTGGTGTATCGGCAAGCTTCTTCTCGAGATCGTCAACGCGCTTGGCAAGCTCTGCAAGAGCCTGTGGATCTTGATCGTCAAGAATCTTCAATGTTGTCTTAGCAGCTGGACTGATAACATCTTCATCATCGCTGTTGTCGCTTGAGCTGCTGCTAGACTTCTTCTTGTCAGCTAGATCCTTGACTTTGTCTTCGAGATCATCAACTTTCTTCTTCAGTTTGGCAACTTCGTCTGCATCGGCTGGGTTGGAAGCAAAGCCGGATCTTGGTTGGCCTTCAGAGTCATCGAGGATCTTCAATGTGGTCTTAGCAGCTGGGCTGATCTCATCTTCAGAGTCGGATGAGCTGCTAGAATGATTCTTGCCATGTGTATCCTTAAGCTTGTCTTCGAGGTCTTCTAACTTCTTCTTGAGCTCATCGATCTGATCTTCATCATTCTTAGCCTTTTCTTCGAGATCATCGACACGCTTGTTGAGATCATTGACATCGTTAAGAGCGTCGGTTGGGTCGATGTCGCGGGTGGCACAAACAACTGGAACATCATTGGCCTCGTCTTTATCAACTGGTGTATCGGCAAGCTTCTTCTCGAGATCGTCAACGCGCTTGGCAAGCTCTGCAAGAGCTGGTGTGTCTTCGTTCTCGAGGGCCTTGAGGGCGGCTTGGGCGGCTGGGCTGATGACTTCTTCTTCGTCACCCTTGTCTTCGCCCTTGTCGCTGGAGCTGCTGCTGCTGCTGCTGGACTTCTTCTTGTCGGCAAGCTCCTTAAGCTTGTCTTCGAGATCGTCGACCTTCTTCTTGAGATCGTCGGCATCCTTGGCCTTCTCTTCGAGATCGTCGACCTTCTTCTTGAGTTCGGCAACTTCATCGGCGTCGGCTGGGTTAGAGGCAACGGTTGATGTTGGTTCGCCATCAGAGCCGTCAAGAACCTTTAATGTGGTCTTGGCTGCTGGGCTGATTTCATCTTCGTCGTTGCTGTTGTCGCTGCTGCTGCTGCTGGACTTCTTCTTGTCGGCAAGCTCCTTAAGCTTGTCTTCGAGATCGTCGACCTTCTTCTTGAGTTCGGCAACTTCGGCTGGGTCGGCCTTGGCTTCGTCTTCGTCCTTGCCGGAGCAAACAACTGGGGCATCCTCGGCGGCGGACTCGGCAACTGGTGTATCGGCAAGCTTCTTCTCGAGATCGTCAACGCGCTTGGCAAGCTCTGCAAGAGCTGGTGTGTCTTCGTTCTCGAGGGCCTTGAGGGCGGCTTGGGCGGCTGGGCTGATGACTTCTTCTTCGTCACCCTTGTCTTCGCCCTTGTCGCTGGAGCTGCTGCTGCTGCTGCTGGACTTCTTCTTGTCGGCAAGCTCCTTAAGCTTGTCTTCGAGATCGTCGACCTTCTTCTTGAGTTCGGCAACTTCGGCTGGGTCGGCCTTGGCTTCGTCTTCGTCCTTGCCGGAGCAAACAACTGGGGCATCCTCGGCGGCGGACTCGGCAACTGGTGTATCGGCAAGCTTCTTCTCGAGATCGTCAACGCGCTTGGCAAGCTCTGCAAGAGCCTGTGGATCTTGATCGTCAAGAATCTTCAATGTTGTCTTAGCAGCTGGACTGATAACATCTTCATCATCGCTGTTGTCGCTTGAGCTGCTGCTAGACTTCTTCTTGTCAGCTAGATCCTTGACTTTGTCTTCGAGATCATCAACTTTCTTCTTCAGTTTGGCAACTTCGTCTGCATCGGCTGGGTTGGAAGCAAAGCCGGATCTTGGTTGGCCTTCAGAGTCATCGAGGATCTTCAATGTGGTCTTAGCAGCTGGGCTGATCTCATCTTCAGAGTCGGATGAGCTGCTAGAATGATTCTTGCCATGTGTATCCTTAAGCTTGTCTTCGAGGTCTTCTAACTTCTTCTTGAGCTCATCGATCTGATCTTCATCATTCTTAGCCTTTTCTTCGAGATCATCGACACGCTTGTTGAGATCATTGACATCGTTAAGAGCGTCGGTTGGGTCGATGTCGCGGGTGGCACAAACAACTGGAACATCATTGGCCTCGTCTTTATCAACTGGTGTATCGGCAAGCTTCTTCTCGAGATCGTCAACGCGCTTGGCAAGCTCTGCAAGAGCTGGTGTGTCTTCGTTCTCGAGGGCCTTGAGGGCGGCTTGGGCGGCTGGGCTGATGACTTCTTCTTCGTCACCCTTGTCTTCGCCCTTGTCGCTGGAGCTGCTGCTGCTGCTGCTGGACTTCTTCTTGTCGGCAAGCTCCTTAAGCTTGTCTTCGAGATCGTCGACCTTCTTCTTGAGATCGTCGGCATCCTTGGCCTTCTCTTCGAGATCGTCGACCTTCTTCTTGAGTTCGGCAACTTCATCGGCGTCGGCTGGGTTAGAGGCAACGGTTGATGTTGGTTCGCCATCAGAGCCGTCAAGAACCTTTAATGTGGTCTTGGCTGCTGGGCTGATTTCATCTTCGTCGTTGCTGTTGTCGCTGCTGCTGCTGCTGGACTTCTTCTTGTCGGCAAGCTCCTTAAGCTTGTCTTCGAGATCGTCGACCTTCTTCTTGAGTTCGGCAACTTCGGCTGGGTCGGCCTTGGCTTCGTCTTCGTCCTTGCCGGAGCAAACAACTGGGGCATCCTCGGCGGCGGACTCGGCAACTGGTGTATCGGCAAGCTTCTTCTCGAGATCGTCAACGCGCTTGGCAAGCTCTGCAAGAGCCTGTGGATCTTGATCGTCAAGAATCTTCAATGTTGTCTTAGCAGCTGGACTGATAACATCTTCATCATCGCTGTTGTCGCTTGAGCTGCTGCTAGACTTCTTCTTGTCAGCTAGATCCTTGACTTTGTCTTCGAGATCATCAACTTTCTTCTTCAGTTTGGCAACTTCGTCTGCATCGGCTGGGTTGGAAGCAAAGCCGGATCTTGGTTGGCCTTCAGAGTCATCGAGGATCTTCAATGTGGTCTTAGCAGCTGGGCTGATCTCATCTTCAGAGTCGGATGAGCTGCTAGAATGATTCTTGCCATGTGTATCCTTAAGCTTGTCTTCGAGGTCTTCTAACTTCTTCTTGAGCTCATCGATCTGATCTTCATCATTCTTAGCCTTTTCTTCGAGATCATCGACACGCTTGTTGAGATCATTGACATCGTTAAGAGCGTCGGTTGGGTCGATGTCGCGGGTGGCACAAACAACTGGAACATCATTGGCCTCGTCTTTATCAACTGGTGTATCGGCAAGCTTCTTCTCGAGATCGTCAACGCGCTTGGCAAGCTCTGCAAGAGCTGGTGTGTCTTCGTTCTCGAGGGCCTTGAGGGCGGCTTGGGCGGCTGGGCTGATGACTTCTTCTTCGTCACCCTTGTCCTCGCCCTTGTCGCTGGAGCTGCTGCTGCTGCTGGACTTCTTCTTGTCGGCAACATCCTTAAGCTTGTCTTCGAGGTCTTCTAACTTCTTCTTGAGCTCATCGATCTGATCTTCATCATTCTTAGCCTTTTCTTCGAGATCATCGACACGCTTGTTGAGATCATTGACATCGTTAAGAGCGTCGGTTGGGTCGATGTCGCGGGTGGCACAAACAACTGGAACATCATTGGCCTCGTCTTTATCAACTGGTGTATCGGCAAGCTTCTTCTCGAGATCGTCAACGCGCTTGGCAAGCTCTGCAAGAGCTGGTGTGTCTTCGTTCTCGAGGGCCTTGAGGGCGGCTTGGGCGGCTGGGCTGATGACTTCTTCTTCGTCACCCTTGTCCTCGCCCTTGTCGCTGGAGCTGCTGCTGCTGCTGGACTTCTTCTTGTCGGCAACATCCTTAAGCTTGTCTTCGAGATCGTCGACCTTCTTCTTGAGATCGTCGGCATCCTTGGCCTTCTCTTCGAGATCGTCGACCTTCTTCTTGAGATCGTCGGCATCCTTGGCCTTCTCTTCGAGATCGTCGACCTTCTTCTTGAGATCGTCGGCATCCTTGGCCTTCTCTTCGAGATCGTCGACCTTCTTCTTGAGTTCGGCAACTTCATCGGCGTCGGCTGGGTTAGAGGCAACGGTTGATGTTGGTTCGCCATCAGAGCCGTCAAGAACCTTTAATGTGGTCTTGGCTTCTGGGCTGATTTCATCTTCGTCGTTGCTGTTGTCGCTGCTGCTGCTGGACTTCTTCTTGTCGGCAAGCTCCTTAAGCTTGTCTTCGAGATCGTCGACCTTCTTCTTGAGATCGTCGGCATCCTTGGCCTTCTCTTCGAGATCGTCGACCTTCTTCTTGAGTTCGGCAACTTCGGCTGGGTCGGCCTTGGCTTCGTCTTCGTCCTTGCCGGAGCAAACAACTGGGGCATCCTCGGCGGCGGACTCGGCAACTGGTGTATCGGCAAGCTTCTTCTCGAGATCGTCAACGCGCTTGGCAAGCTCTGCAAGAGCTGGTGTGTCTTCGTTCTCGAGGGCCTTGAGGCGGCTTGGGCGGCTGGGCTGATGACTTCTTCTTCGTCACCCTTGTCTTCGCCCTTGTCGCTGGAGCTGCTGCTGCTGCTGGACTTCTTCTTGTCGGCAAGCTCTTAAGCTTGTCTTCGAGATCGTCGACCTTCTTCTTGAGATCGTCGGCATCCTTGGCCTTCTCTTCGAGATCGTCGACCTTCTTCTTGAGTTCGGCAACTTCATCGGCGTCGGCTGGTTAGAGGCAACGGTTGATGTTGGTTCGCCATCAGAGCCGTCAAGAACCTTTAATGTGGTCTTGGCTGCTGGGCTGATTTCATCTTCGTCGTTGCTGTTGTCGCTGTTGCTGCTGCTGGACTTCTTCTTGTCGGCAAGCTCCTTAAGCTTGTCTTCGAGATCGTCGACTTCTTCTTGAGTTCGGCAACTTCGGCTGGGTCGGCCTTGGCTTCGTCTTCGTCCTTGCCGGAGCAAACAACTGGGGCATCCTCGGCGGCGGACTCGGCAACTGGTGTATCGGCAAGCTTCTTCTCGAGATCGTCAACGCGCTTGGCAAGCTCTGCAAGAGCTGGTGTGTCTTCGTTCTCGAGGGCCTTGAGGGCGGCTTGGGCGGCTGGGCTGATGACTTCTTCTTCGTCACCCTTGTCCTCGCCCTTGTCGCTGGAGCTGCTGCTGCTGCTGCTGGACTTCTTCTTGTCGGCAAGCTCCTTAAGCTTGTCTTCGAGATCGTCGACCTTCTTCTTGAGATCGTCGGCATCCTTGGCCTTCTCTTCGAGATCGTCGACCTTCTTCTTGAGATCGTCGGCATCCTTGGCCTTCTCTTCGAGATCGTCGACCTTCTTCTTGAGTTCGGCAACTTCGGCTGGGTCGGCCTTGGCTTCGTCTTCGTCCTTGCCGGAGCAAACAACTGGGGCTCGGCGCGGCGGACTCGGCAACTGGTGTATCGGCAAGCTTCTTCTCGAGATCGTCAACGCGCTTGGCAAGCTCTGCAAGAGCCTGTGGATCTTGATCGTCAAGAATCTTCAATGTTGTCTTAGCAGCTGGACTGATAACATCTTCATCATCGCTGTTGTCGCTTGAGCTGCTGCTAGACTTCTTCTTGTCAGCTAGATCCTTGACTTTGTCTTCGAGATCATCAACTTTCTTCTTCAGTTTGGCAACTTCGTCTGCATCGGCTGGGTTGGAAGCAAAGCCGGATCTTGGTTGGCCTTCAGAGTCATCGAGGATCTTCAATGTGGTCTTAGCAGCTGGGCTGATCTCATCTTCAGAGTCGGATGAGCTGCTAGAATGATTCTTGCCATGTGTATCCTTAAGCTTGTCTTCGAGGTCTTCTAACTTCTTCTTGAGCTCATCGATCTGATCTTCATCATTCTTAGCCTTTTCTTCGAGATCATCGACACGCTTGTTGAGATCATTGACATCGTTAAGAGCGTCGGTTGGGTCGATGTCGCGGGTGGCACAAACAACTGGAACATCATTGGCCTCGTCTTTATCAACTGGTGTATCGGCAAGCTTCTTCTCGAGATCGTCAACGCGCTTGGCAAGCTCTGCAAGAGCTGGTGTGTCTTCGTTCTCGAGGGCCTTGAGGGCGGCTTGGGCGGCTGGGCTGATGACTTCTTCTTCGTCACCCTTGTCTTCGCCCTTGTCGCTGGAGCTGCTGCTGCTGCTGCTGGACTTCTTCTTGTCGGCAAGCTCCTTAAGCTTGTCTTCGAGATCGTCGACCTTCTTCTTGAGATCGTCGGCATCCTTGGCCTTCTCTTCGAGATCGTCGACCTTCTTCTTGAGATCGTCGGCATCCTTGGCCTTCTCTTCGAGATCGTCGACCTTCTTCTTGAGATCGTCGGCATCCTTGGCCTTCTCTTCGAGATCGTCGACCTTCTTCTTGAGTTCGGCAACTTCGGCTGGGTCGGCCTTGGCTTCGTCTTCGTCCTTGCCGGAGCAAACAACTGGGGCATCCTCGGCGGCGGACTCGGCAACTGGTGTATCGGCAAGCTTCTTCTCGAGATCGTCAACGCGCTTGGCAAGCTCTGCAAGAGCTGGTGTGTCTTCGTTCTCGAGGCCTTGAGGGCGGCTTGGGCGGCTGGGCTGATGACTTCTTCTTCGTCACCCTTGTCTTCGCCCTTGTCGCTGGAGCTGCTGCTGCTGCTGCTGGACTTCTTCTTGTCGGCAAGCTCCTTAAGCTTGTCTTCGAGATCGTCGACCTTCTTCTTGAGATCGTCGGCATCCTTGGCCTTCTCTTCGAGATCGTCGACCTTCTTCTTGAGATCGTCGCAAGCTCCTTAAGCTTGTCTTCGAGATCGTCGACCTTCTTCTTGAGATCGTCGGCATCCTTGGCCTTCTCTTCGAGATCGTCGACCTTCTTCTTGAGATCGTCGGCATCCTTGGCCTTCTCTTCGAGATCGTCGACCTTCTTCTTGAGTTCGGCAACTTCGGCTGGGTCGGCCTTGGCTTCGTCTTCGTCCTTGCCGGAGCAAACAACTGGGGCATCCTCGGCGGCGGACTCGGCAACTGGTGTATCGGCAAGCTTCTTCTCGAGATCGTCAACGCGCTTGGCAAGCTCTGCAAGAGCTGGTGTGTCTTCGTTCTCGAGGGCCTTGAGGGCGGCTTGGGCGGCTGGGCTGATGACTTCTTCTTCGTCACCCTTGTCTTCGCCCTTGTCGCTGGAGCTGCTGCTGCTGCTGGACTTCTTCTTGTCGGCAATATCCTTAAGCTTGTCTTCGAGGTCTTCTAACTTCTTCTTGAGCTCATCGATCTGATCTTCATCATTCTTAGCCTTTTCTTCGAGATCATCGACACGCTTGTTGAGATCATTGACATCGTTAAGAGCGTCGGTTGGGTCGATGTCGCGGGTGGCACAAACAACTGGAACATCATTGGCCTCGTCTTTATCAACTGGTGTATCGGCAAGCTTCTTCTCGAGATCGTCAACGCGCTTGGCAAGCTCTGCAAGAGCTGGTGTGTCTTCGTTCTCGAGGGCCTTGAGGGCGGCTTGGGCGGCTGGGCTGATGACTTCTTCTTCGTCACCCTTGTCTTCGCCCTTGTCGCTGGAGCTGCTGCTGCTGCTGCTGGACTTCTTCTTGTCGGCAAGCTCCTTAAGCTTGTCTTCGAGATCGTCGACCTTCTTCTTGAGTTCGGCAACTTCGGCTGGGTCGGCCTTGGCTTCGTCTTCGTCCTTGCCGGAGCAAACAACTGGGGCATCCTCGGCGGCGGACTCGGCAACTGGTGTATCGGCAAGCTTCTTCTCGAGATCGTCAACGCGCTTGGCAAGCTCTGCAAGAGCTGGTGTGTCTTCGTTCTCGAGGGCCTTGAGGGCGGCTTGGGCGGCTGGGCTGATGACTTCTTCTTCGTCACCCTTGTCCTCGCCCTTGTCGCTGGAGCTGCTGCTGCTGCTGGACTTCTTCTTGTCGGCAACATCCTTAAGCTTGTCTTCGAGGTCTTCTAACTTCTTCTTGAGCTCATCGATCTGATCTTCATCATTCTTAGCCTTTTCTTCGAGATCATCGACACGCTTGTTGAGATCATTGACATCGTTAAGAGCGTCGGTTGGGTCGATGTCGCGGGTGGCACAAACAACTGGAACATCATTGGCCTCGTCTTTATCAACTGGTGTATCGGCAAGCTTCTTCTCGAGATCGTCAACGCGCTTGGCAAGCTCTGCAAGAGCTGGTGTGTCTTCGTTCTCGAGGGCCTTGAGGGCGGCTTGGGCGGCTGGGCTGATGACTTCTTCTTCGTCACCCTTGTCTTCGCCCTTGTCGCTGGAGCTGCTGCTGCTGCTGGACTTCTTCTTGTCGGCAAGCTCCTTAAGCTTGTCTTCGAGATCGTCGACCTTCTTCTTGAGATCGTCGGCATCCTTGGCCTTCTCTTCGAGATCGTCGACCTTCTTCTTGAGTTCGGCAACTTCGGCTGGGTCGGCCTTGGCTTCGTCTTCGTCCTTGCCGGAGCAAACAACTGGGGCATCCTCGGCGGCGGACTCGGCAACTGGTGTATCGGCAAGCTTCTTCTCGAGATCGTCAACGCGCTTGGCAAGCTCTGCAAGAGCTGGTGTGTCTTCGTTCTCGAGGGCCTTGAGGGCGGCTTGGGCGGCTGGGCTGATGACTTCTTCTTCGTCACCCTTGTCCTCGCCCTTGTCGCTGGAGCTGCTGCTGCTGCTGCTGGACTTCTTCTTGTCGGCAAGCTCCTTAAGCTTGTCTTCGAGATCGTCGACCTTCTTCTTGAGATCGTCGGCATCCTTGGCCTTCTCTTCGAGATCGTCGACCTTCTTCTTGAGTTCGGCAACTTCGGCTGGGTCGGCCTTGGCTTCGTCTTCGTCCTTGCCGGAGCAAACAACTGGGGCATCCTCGGCGGCGGACTCGGCAACTGGTGTATCGGCAAGCTTCTTCTCGAGATCGTCAACGCGCTTGGCAAGCTCTGCAAGAGCTGGTGTGTCTTCGTTCTCGAGGGCCTTGAGGGCGGCTTGGGCGGCTGGGCTGATGACTTCTTCGTCACCCTTGTCCTCGCCCTTGTCGCTGGAGCTGCTGCTGCTGCTGGACTTCTTCTTGTCGGCAACATCCTTAAGCTTGTCTTCGAGGTCTTCTAACTTCTTCTTGAGCTCATCGATCTGATCTTCATCATTCTTAGCCTTTTCTTCGAGATCATCGACACGCTTGTTGAGATCATTGACATCGTTAAGAGCGTCGGTTGGGTCGATGTCGCGGGTGGCACAAACAACTGGAACATCATTGGCCTCGTCTTCATCAACTGGTGTATCGGCAAGCTTCTTCTCGAGATCGTCAACGCGCTTGGCAAGCTCTGCAAGAGCTGGTGTGTCTTCGTTCTCGAGGGCCTTGAGGGCGGCTTGGGCGGCTGGGCTGATGACTTCTTCTTCGTCACCCTTGTCTTCGCCCTTGTCGCTGGAGCTGCTGCTGCTGCTGGACTTCTTCTTGTCGGCAACATCCTTAAGCTTGTCTTCGAGGTCTTCTAACTTCTTCTTGAGCTCATCGATCTGATCTTCATCATTCTTAGCCTTTTCTTCGAGATCATCGACACGCTTGTTGAGATCATTGACATCGTTAAGAGCGTCGGTTGGGTCGATGTCGCGGGTGGCACAAACAACTGGAACATCATTGGCCTCGTCTTTATCAACTGGTGTATCGGCAAGCTTCTTCTCGAGATCGTCAACGCGCTTGGCAAGCTCTGCAAGAGCTGGTGTGTCTTCGTTCTCGAGGGCCTTGAGGGCGGCTTGGGCGGCTGGGCTGATGACTTCTTCTTCGTCACCCTTGTCCTCGCCCTTGTCGCTGGAGCTGCTGCTGCTGCTGGACTTCTTCTTGTCGGCAAGCTCCTTAAGCTTGTCTTCGAGATCGTCGACCTTCTTCTTGAGATCGTCGGCATCCTTGGCCTTCTCTTCGAGATCGTCGACCTTCTTCTTGAGATCGTCGGCATCCTTGGCCTTCTCTTCGAGATCGTCGACCTTCTTCTTGAGTTCGGCAACTTCGGCTGGGTCGGCCTTGGCTTCGTCTTCGTCCTTGCCGGAGCAAACAACTGGGGCATCCTCGGCGGCGGACTCGGCAACTGGTGTATCGGCAAGCTTCTTCTCGAGATCGTCAACGCGCTTGGCAAGCTCTGCAAGAGCTGGTGTGTCTTCGTTCTCGAGGGCCTTGAGGGCGGCTTGGGCGGCTGGGCTGATGACTTCTTCTTCGTCACCCTTGTCCTCGCCCTTGTCGCTGGAGCTGCTGCTGCTGCTGCTGGACTTCTTCTTGTCGGCAAGCTCCTTAAGCTTGTCTTCGAGATCGTCGACCTTCTTCTTGAGATCGTCGGCATCCTTGGCCTTCTCTTCGAGATCGTCGACCTTCTTCTTGAGATCGTCGGCATCCTTGGCCTTCTCTTCGAGATCGTCGACCTTCTTCTTGAGTTCGGCAACTTCGGCTGGGTCGGCCTTGGCTTCGTCTTCGTCCTTGCCGGAGCAAACAACTGGGGCATCCTCGGCGGCGGACTCGGCAACTGGTGTATCGGCAAGCTTCTTCTCGAGATCGTCAACGCGCTTGGCAAGCTCTGCAAGAGCTGGTGTGTCTTCGTTCTCGAGGGCCTTGAGGGCGGCTTGGGCGGCTGGGCTGATGACTTCTTCTTCGTCACCCTTGTCTTCGCCCTTGTCGCTGGAGCTGCTGCTGCTGCTGGACTTCTTCTTGTCGGCAAGCTCCTTAAGCTTGTCTTCGAGATCGTCGACCTTCTTCTTGAGATCGTCGGCATCCTTGGCCTTCTCTTCGAGATCGTCGACCTTCTTCTTGAGATCGTCGGCATCCTTGGCCTTCTCTTCGAGATCGTCGACCTTCTTCTTGAGTTCGGCAACTTCGGCTGGGTCGGCCTTGGCTTCGTCTTCGTCCTTGCCGGAGCAAACAACTGGGGCATCCTCGGCGGCGGACTCGGCAACTGGTGTATCGGCAAGCTTCTTCTCGAGATCGTCAACGCGCTTGGCAAGCTCTGCAAGAGCTGGTGTGTCTTCGTTCTCGAGGGCCTTGAGGGCGGCTTGGGCGGCTGGGCTGATGACTTCTTCTTCGTCACCCTTGTCCTCGCCCTTGTCGCTGGAGCTGCTGCTGCTGCTGGACTTCTTCTTGTCGGCAAGCTCCTTAAGCTTGTCTTCGAGATCGTCGACCTTCTTCTTGAGATCGTCGGCATCCTTGGCCTTCTCTTCGAGATCGTCGACCTTCTTCTTGAGATCGTCGGCATCCTTGGCCTTCTCTTCGAGATCGTCGACCTTTCTTGAGTTCGGCAACTTCGGCTGGGTCGGCCTTGGCTTCGTCTTCGTCCTTGCCGGAGCAAACAACTGGGGCATCCTCGGCGGCGGACTCGGCAACTGGTGTATCGGCAAGCTTCTTCTCGAGATCGTCAACGCGCTTGGCAAGCTCTGCAAGAGCTGGTGTGTCTTCGTTCTCGAGGGCCTTGAGGGCGGCTTGGGCGGCTGGGCTGATGACTTCTTCTTCGTCACCCTTGTCCTCGCCCTTGTCGCTGGAGCTGCTGCTGCTGCTGGACTTCTTCTTGTCGGCAAGCTCCTTAAGCTTGTCTTCGAGATCGTCGACCTTCTTCTTGAGATCGTCGGCATCCTTGGCCTTCTCTTCGAGATCGTCGACCTTCTTCTTGAGATCGTCGGCATCCTTGGCCTTCTCTTCGAGATCGTCGACCTTCTTCTTGAGATCGTCGGCATCCTTGGCCTTCTCTTCGAGATCGTCGACCTTCTTCTTGAGTTCGGCAACTTCGGCTGGGTCGGCCTTGGCTTCGTCTTCGTCCTTGCCGGAGCAAACAACTGGGGCATCCTCGGCGGCGGACTCGGCAACTGGTGTATCGGCAAGCTTCTTCTCGAGATCGTCAACGCGCTTGGCAAGCTCTGCAAGAGCTGGTGTGTCTTCGTTCTCGAGGGCCTTGAGGGCGGCTTGGGCGGCTGGGCTGATGACTTCTTCTTCGTCACCCTTGTCCTCGCCCTTGTCGCTGGAGCTGCTGCTGCTGCTGCTGGACTTCTTCTTGTCGGCAAGCTCCTTAAGCTTGTCTTCGAGATCGTCGACCTTCTTCTTGAGATCGTCGGCATCCTTGGCCTTCTCTTCGAGATCGTCGACCTTCTTCTTGAGATCGTCGGCATCCTTGGCCTTCTCTTCGAGATCGTCGACCTTCTTCTTGAGTTCGGCAACTTCGGCTGGGTCGGCCTTGGCTTCGTCTTCGTCCTTGCCGGAGCAAACAACTGGGGCATCCTCGGCGGCGGACTCGGCAACTGGTGTATCGGCAAGCTTCTTCTCGAGATCGTCAACGCGCTTGGCAAGCTCTGCAAGAGCTGGTGTGTCTTCGTTCTCGAGGGCCTTGAGGGCGGCTTGGGCGGCTGGGCTGATGACTTCTTCTTCGTCACCCTTGTCTTCGCCCTTGTCGCTGGAGCTGCTGCTGCTGCTGCTGGACTTCTTCTTGTCGGCAAGCTCCTTAAGCTTGTCTTCGAGATCGTCGACCTTCTTCTTGAGATCGTCGGCATCCTTGGCCTTCTCTTCGAGATCGTCGACCTTCTTCTTGAGTTCGGCAACTTCGGCTGGGTCGGCCTTGGCTTCGTCTTCGTCCTTGCCGGAGCAAACAACTGGGGCATCCTCGGCGGCGGACTCGGCAACTGGTGTATCGGCAAGCTTCTTCTCGAGATCGTCAACGCGCTTGGCAAGCTCTGCAAGAGCTGGTGTGTCTTCGTTCTCGAGGGCCTTGAGGGCGGCTTGGGCGGCTGGGCTGATGACTTCTTCGTCACCCTTGTCCTCGCCCTTGTCGCTGGAGCTGCTGCTGCTGCTGGACTTCTTCTTGTCGGCAACATCCTTAAGCTTGTCTTCGAGGTCTTCTAACTTCTTCTTGAGCTCATCGATCTGATCTTCATCATTCTTAGCCTTTTCTTCGAGATCATCGACACGCTTGTTGAGATCATTGACATCGTTAAGAGCGTCGGTTGGGTCGATGTCGCGGGTGGCACAAACAACTGGAACATCATTGGCCTCGTCTTCATCAACTGGTGTATCGGCAAGCTTCTTCTCGAGATCGTCAACGCGCTTGGCAAGCTCTGCAAGAGCTGGTGTGTCTTCGTTCTCGAGGGCCTTGAGGGCGGCTTGGGCGGCTGGGCTGATGACTTCTTCTTCGTCACCCTTGTCCTCGCCCTTGTCGCTGGAGCTGCTGCTGCTGCTGGACTTCTTCTTGTCGGCAAGCTCCTTAAGCTTCTCTTCGAGATCGTCGACCTTCTTCTTGAGATCGTCGGCATCCTTGGCCTTCTCTTCGAGATCGTCGACCTTCTTCTTGAGATCGTCGGCATCCTTGGCCTTCTCTTCGAGATCGTCGACCTTCTTCTTGAGTTCGGCAACTTCGGCTGGGTCGGCCTTGGCTTCGTCTTCGTCCTTGCCGGAGCAAACAACTGGGGCATCCTCGGCGGCGGACTCGGCAACTGGTGTATCGGCAAGCTTCTTCTCGAGATCGTCAACGCGCTTGGCAAGCTCTGCAAGAGCTGGTGTGTCTTCGTTCTCGAGGGCCTTGAGGGCGGCTTGGGCGGCTGGGCTGATGACTTCTTCTTCGTCACCCTTGTCCTCGCCCTTGTCGCTGGAGCTGCTGCTGCTGCTGGACTTCTTCTTGTCGGCAAGCTCCTTAAGCTTGTCTTCGAGATCGTCGACCTTCTTCTTGAGATCGTCGGCATCCTTGGCCTTCTCTTCGAGATCGTCGACCTTCTTCTTGAGATCGTCGGCATCCTTGGCCTTCTCTTCGAGATCGTCGACCTTCTTCTTGAGATCGTCGGCATCCTTGGCCTTCTCTTCGAGATCGTCGACCTTCTTCTTGAGATCGTCGGCATCCTTGGCCTTCTCTTCGAGATCGTCGACCTTCTTCTTGAGTTCGGCAACTTCGGCTGGGTCGGCCTTGGCTTCGTCTTCGTCCTTGCCGGAGCAAACAACTGGGGCATCCTCGGCGGCGGACTCGGCAACTGGTGTATCGGCAAGCTTCTTCTCGAGATCGTCAACGCGCTTGGCAAGCTCTGCAAGAGCTGGTGTGTCTTCGTTCTCGAGGGCCTTGAGGGCGGCTTGGGCGGCTGGGCTGATGACTTCTTCTTCGTCACCCTTGTCCTCGCCCTTGTCGCTGGAGCTGCTGCTGCTGCTGGACTTCTTTTGTCGGCAACATCCTTAAGCTTGTCTTCGAGGTCTTCTAACTTCTTCTTGAGCTCATCGATCTGATCTTCATCATTCTTAGCCTTTTCTTCGAGATCATCGACACGCTTGTTGAGATCATTGACATCGTTAAGAGCGTCGGTTGGGTCGATGTCGCGGGGTGGCACAAACAACTGGAACATCATTGGCCTCGTCTTTATCAACTGGTGTATCGGCAAGCTTCTTCTCGAGATCGTCAACGCGCTTGGCAAGCTCTGCAAGAGCTGGTGTGTCTTCGTTCTCGAGGGCCTTGAGGGCGGCTTGGGCGGCTGGGCTGATGACTTCTTCTTCGTCACCCTTGTCCTCGCCCTTGTCGCTGGAGCTGCTGCTGCTGCTGGACTTCTTCTTGTCGGCAAGCTCCTTAAGCTTCTCTTCGAGATCGTCGACCTTCTTCTTGAGATCGTCGGCATCCTTGGCCTTCTCTTCGAGATCGTCGACCTTCTTCTTGAGATCGTCGGCATCCTTGGCCTTCTCTTCGAGATCGTCGACCTTCTTCTTGAGATCGTCGGCATCCTTGGCCTTCTCTTCGAGATCGTCGACCTTCTTCTTGAGTTCGGCAACTTCGGCTGGGTCGGCCTTGGCTTCGTCTTCGTCCTTGCCGGAGCAAACAACTGGGGCATCCTCGGCGGCGGACTCGGCAACTGGTGTATCGGCAAGCTTCTTCTCGAGATCGTCAACGCGCTTGGCAAGCTCTGCAAGAGCTGGTGTGTCTTCGTTCTCGAGGGCCTTGAGGGCGGCTTGGGCGGCTGGGCTGATGACTTCTTCTTCGTCACCCTTGTCCTCGCCCTTGTCGCTGGAGCTGCTGCTGCTGCTGGACTTCTTCTTGTCGGCAACATCCTTAAGCTTGTCTTCGAGGTCTTCTAACTTCTTCTTGAGCTCATCGATCTGATCTTCATCATTCTTAGCCTTTTCTTCGAGATCATCGACACGCTTGTTGAGATCATTGACATCGTTAAGAGCGTCGGTTGGGTCGATGTCGCGGGTGGCACAAACAACTGGAACATCATTGGCCTCGTCTTTATCAACTGGTGTATCGGCAAGCTTCTTCTCGAGATCGTCAACGCGCTTGGCAAGCTCTGCAAGAGCTGGTGTGTCTTCGTTCTCGAGGGCCTTGAGGGCGGCTTGGGCGGCTGGGCTGATGACTTCTTCTTCGTCACCCTTGTCCTCGCCCTTGTCGCTGGAGCTGCTGCTGCTGCTGCTGGACTTCTTCTTGTCGGCAAGCTCCTTAAGCTTGTCTTCGAGATCGTCGACCTTCTTCTTGAGATCGTCGGCATCCTTGGCCTTCTCTTCGAGATCGTCGACCTTCTTCTTGAGATCGTCGGCATCCTTGGCCTTCTCTTCGAGATCGTCGACCTTCTTCTTGAGATCGTCGGCATCCTTGCCTTCTCTTCGAGATCGTCGACCTTCTTCTTGAGTTCGGCAACTTCGGCTGGGTCGGCCTTGGCTTCGTCTTCGTCCTTGCCGGAGCAAACAACTGGGCATCCTCGGCGGCGGACTCGGCAACTGGTGTATCGGCAAGCTTCTTCTCGAGATCGTCAACGCGCTTGGCAAGCTCTGCAAGAGCTGGTGTGTCTTCGTTCTCGAGGGCCTTGAGGGCGGCTTGGGCGGCTGGGCTGATGACTTCTTCTTCGTCACCCTTGTCCTCGCCCTTGTCGCTGGAGCTGCTGCTGCTGCTGGACTTCTTCTTGTCGGCAAGCTCCTTAAGCTTGTCTTCGAGATCGTCGACCTTCTTCTTGAGATCGTCGGCATCCTTGGCCTTCTCTTCGAGATCGTCGACCTTCTTCTTGAGATCGTCGGCATCCTTGGCCTTCTCTTCGAGATCGTCGACCTTCTTCTTGAGATCGTCGGCATCCTTGGCCTTCTCTTCGAGATCGTCGACCTTCTTCTTGAGTTCGGCAACTTCGGCTGGGTCGGCCTTGGCTTCGTCTTCGTCTTGCCGGAGCAAACAACTGGGGCATCCTCGGCGGCGGACTCGGCAACTGGTGTATCGGCAAGCTTCTTCTCGAGATCGTCAACGCGCTTGGCAAGCTCTGCAAGAGCTGGTGTGTCTTCGTTCTCGAGGGCCTTGAGGGCGGCTTGGGCGGCTGGGCTGATGACTTCTTCTTCGTCACCCTTGTCCTCGCCCTTGTCGCTGGAGCTGCTGCTGCTGCTGGACTTCTTCTTGTCGGCAAGCTCCTTAAGCTTGTCTTCGAGATCGTCGACCTTCTTCTTGAGTTCGGCAACTTCGGCTGGGTCGGCCTTGGCTTCGTCTTCGTCCTTGCCGGAGCAAACAACTGGGGCATCCTCGGCGGCGGACTCGGCAACTGGTGTATCGGCAAGCTTCTTCTCGAGATCGTCAACGCGCTTGGCAAGCTCTGCAAGAGCTGGTGTGTCTTCGTTCTCGAGGGCCTTGAGGGCGGCTTGGGCGGCTGGGCTGATGACTTCTTCTTCGTCACCCTTGTCCTCGCCCTTGTCGCTGGAGCTGCTGCTGCTGGACTTCTTCTTGTCGGCAAGCTCCTTAAGCTTGTCTTCGAGATCGTCGACCTTCTTCTTGAGATCGTCGGCATCCTTGGCCTTCTCTTCGAGATCGTCGACCTTCTTCTTGAGATCGTCGGCATCCTTGGCCTTCTCTTCGAGATCGTCGACCTTCTTCTTGAGTTCGGCAACTTCGGCTGGGTCGGCCTTGGCTTCGTCTTCGTCCTTGCCGGAGCAAACAACTGGGGCATCCTCGGCGGCGGACTCGGCAACTGGTGTATCGGCAAGCTTCTTCTCGAGATCGTCAACGCGCTTGGCAAGCTCTGCAAGAGCTGGTGTGTCTTCGTTCTCGAGGGCCTTGAGGGCGGCTTGGGCGGCTGGGCTGATGACTTCTTCTTCGTCACCCTTGTCCTCGCCCTTGTCGCTGGAGCTGCTGCTGCTGCTGGACTTCTTCTTGTCGGCAAGCTCCTTAAGCTTGTCTTCGAGATCGTCGACCTTCTTCTTGAGTTCGGCAACTTCGGCTGGGTCGGCCTTGGCTTCGTCTTCGTCCTTGCCGGAGCAAACAACTGGGGCATCCTCGGCGGCGGACTCGGCAACTGGTGTATCGGCAAGCTTCTTCTCGAGATCGTCAACGCGCTTGGCAAGCTCTGCAAGAGCTGGTGTGTCTTCGTTCTCGAGGGCCTTGAGGGCGGCTTGGGCGGCTGGGCTGATGACTTCTTCTTCGTCACCCTTGTCCTCGCCCTTGTCGCTGGAGCTGCTGCTGCTGCTGGACTTCTTCTTGTCGGCAAGCTCCTTAAGCTTGTCTTCGAGATCGTCGACCTTCTTCTTGAGATCGTCGGCATCCTTGGCCTTCTCTTCGAGATCGTCGACCTTCTTCTTGAGATCGTCGGCATCCTTGGCCTTCTCTTCGAGATCGTCGACCTTCTTCTTGAGTTCGGCAACTTCGGCTGGGTCGGCCTTGGCTTCGTCTTCGTCCTTGCCGGAGCAAACAACTGGGGCATCCTCGGCGGCGGACTCGGCAACTGGTGTATCGGCAAGCTTCTTCTCGAGATCGTCAACGCGCTTGGCAAGCTCTGCAAGAGCTGGTGTGTCTTCGTTCTCGAGGGCCTTGAGGGCGGCTTGGGCGGCTGGGCTGATGACTTCTTCTTCGTCACCCTTGTCCTCGCCTTGTCGTGGAGCTGCTGCTGCTGCTGGACTTCTTCTTGTCGCAAGCTCCTTAAGCTTCTCTTCGAGATCGTCGACCTTCTTCTTGAGATCGTCGGCATCCTTGCCTTCTCTTCGAGATCGTCGACCTTCTTCTTGAGATCGTCGGCATCCTTGGCCTTCTCTTCGAGATCGTCGACCTTCTTCTTGAGTTCGGCAACTTCGCTGGTCGGCCTTGGCTTCGTCTTCGTCCTTGCCGGAGCAAACAACTGGGGCATCCTCGGCGGCGGACTCGGCAACTGTGTATCGCAAGCTTCTTCTCGAGATCGTCAACGCGCTTGGCAAGCTCTGCAAGAGCTGTGTGTCTTCGTTCTCGAGGGCCTTGAGGGCGTTGGGCGGCTGGGCTGATGACTTCTTCTTCGTCACCCTTGTCCTCGCCCTTGTCGCTGGAGCTGCTGCTGCTGCTGGACTTCTTCTTGAGATCGTCGGCATCCTTGGCCTTCTCTTCGAGATCGTCGACCTTCTTCTTGAGTTCGGCAACTTCGGCTGGGTCGGCCTTGGCTTCGTCTTCGTCCTTGCCGGAGCAAACAACTGGGGCATCCTCGGCGGCGGACTCGGCAACTGGTGTATCGGCAAGCTTCTTCTCGAGATCGTCAACGCGCTTGGCAAGCTCTGCAAGAGCTGGTGTGTCTTCGTTCTCGAGGGCCTTGAGGGCGGCTTGGGCGGCTGGGCTGATGACTTCTTCTTCGTCACCCTTGTCCTCGCCCTTGTCGCTGGAGCTGCTGCTGCTGCTGCTGGACTTCTTCTTGTCGGCAAGCTCCTTAAGCTTGTCTTCGAGATCGTCGACCTTCTTCTTGAGATCGTCGGCATCCTTGGCCTTCTCTTCGAGATCGTCGACCTTCTTCTTGAGTTCGTCGGCATCCTTGGCCTTCTCTTCGAGATCGTCGACCTTCTTCTTGAGTTCGGCAACTTCGGCTGGGTCGGCCTTGGCTTCGTCTTCGTCCTTGCCGGAGCAAACAACTGGGGCATCCTCGGCGGCGGACTCGGCAACTGGTGTATCGGCAAGCTTCTTCTCGAGATCGTCAACGCGCTTGGCAAGCTCTGCAAGAGCTGGTGTGTCTTCGTTCTCGAGGGCCTTGAGGGCGGCTTGGGCGGCTGGGCTGATGACTTCTTCTTCGTCACCCTTGTCCTCGCCCTTGTCGCTGGAGCTGCTGCTGCTGCTGGACTTCTTCTTGTCGGCAAGCTCCTTAAGCTTGTCTTCGAGATCGTCGACCTTCTTCTTGAGATCGTCGGCATCCTTGGCCTTCTCTTCGAGATCGTCGACCTTCTTCTTGAGTTCGTCGGCATCCTTGGCCTTTCTTCGAGATCGTCGACCTTCTTCTTGAGTTCGGCAACTTCGGCTGGGTCGGCCTTGGCTTCGTCTTCGTCCTTGCCGGAGCAAACAACTGGGGCATCCTCGGCGGCGGACTCGCACTGGTGTATCGGCAAGCTTCTTCTCGAGATCGTCAACGCGCTTGGCAAGCTCTGCAAGAGCTGGTGTGTCTTCGTTCTCGAGGGCCTTGAGGGCGGCTTGGGCGGCTGGGCTGATGACTTCTTCTTCGTCACCCTTGTCCTCGCCCTTGTCGCTGGAGCTGCTGCTTGCTGCTGGACTTCTTCTTGTCGGCAAGCTCCTTAAGCTTGTCTTCGAGATCGTCGACCTTCTTCTTGAGATCGTCGGCATCCTTGGCCTTCTCTTCGAGATCGTCGACCTTCTTCTTGAGATCGTCGGCATCCTTGGCCTTCTCTTCGAGATCGTCGACCTTCTTCTTGAGATCGTCGGCATCCTTGGCCTTCTCTTCGAGATCGTCGACCTTCTTCTTGAGATCGTCGGCATCCTTGGCCTTCTCTTCGAGATCGTCGACCTTCTTCTTGAGTTCGGCAACTTCGGCTGGGTCGGCCTTGGCTTCGTCTTCGTCCTTGCCGGAGCAAACAACTGGGGCATCCTCGGCGGCGGACTCGGCAACTGGTGTATCGGCAAGCTTCTTCTCGAGATCGTCAACGCGCTTGGCAAGCTCTGCAAGAGCTGGTGTGTCTTCGTTCTCGAGGGCCTTGAGGGCGGCTTGGGCGGCTGGGCTGATGACTTCTTCTTCGTCACCCTTGTCTTCGCCCTTGTCGCTGGAGCTGCTGCTGCTGCTGGACTTCTTCTTGTCGGCAAGCTCCTTAAGCTTGTCTTCGAGATCGTCGACCTTCTTCTTGAGATCGTCGGCATCCTTGGCCTTCTCTTCGAGATCGTCGACCTTCTTCTTGAGTTCGTCGGCATCCTTGGCCTTTCTTCGAGATCGTCGACCTTCTTCTTGAGTTCGGCAACTTCGGCTGGGTCGGCCTTGGCTTCGTCTTCGTCCTTGCCGGAGCAAACAACTGGGGCATCTCGGCGGCGGACTCGGCAACTGGTGTATCGGCAAGCTTCTTCTCGAGATCGTCAACGCGCTTGGCAAGCTCTGCAAGAGCTGGTGTGTCTTCGTTCTCGAGGGCCTTGAGGGCGGCTTGGCGGCTGGGCTGATGACTTCTTCTTCGTCACCCTTGTCCTCGCCCTTGTCGCTGGAGCTGCTGCTGCTGCTGGACTTCTTCTTGTCGTCGAGATCCTTGAGCTTGTCTTCGAGATCGTCGACCTTCTTCTTGAGATCGTCGGCATCCTTGGCCTTCTCTTCGAGATCGTCGACCTTCTTCTTGAGTTCGTCGGCATCCTTGGCCTTCTTCTTCGAGATCGTCGACCTTCTTCTTGAGTTCGGCAACTTCGGCTGGGTCGGCCTTGCTTCGTCTTCGTCCTTGCCGGAGCAAACAACTGGGGCATCCTCGGCGGCGGACTCGGCAACTGGTGTATCGGCAAGCTTCTTCTCGAGATCGTCAACGCGCTTGGCAAGCTCTGCAAGAGCTGGTGTGTCTTCGTTCTCGAGGGCCTTGAGGCGGCTTGGGCGGCTGGGCTGATGACTTCTTCTTCGTCACCCTTGTCCTCGCCCTTGTCGCTGGAGCTGCTGCTGCTGCTGGACTTCTTCTTGTCGGCAAGCTCCTTAAGCTTGTCTTCGAGATCGTCGACCTTCTTCTTGAGATCGTCGGCATCCTTGGCCTTCTCTTCGAGATCGTCGACCTTCTTCTTGAGTTCGTCGGCATCCTTGGCCTTCTCTTCGAGATCGTCGACCTTCTTCTTGAGATCGTCGGCATCCTTGGCCTTCTCTTCGAGATCGTCGACCTTCTTCTTGAGATCGTCGGCATCCTTGGCCTTCTCTTCGAGATCGTCGACCTTCTTCTTGAGTTCGGCAACTTCGGCTGGGTCGGCCTTGGCTTCGTCTTCGTCCTTGCCGGAGCAAACAACTGGGGCATCCTCGGCGGCGGACTCGGCAACTGGTGTATCGGCAAGCTTCTTCTCGAGATCGTCAACGCGCTTGGCAAGCTCTGCAAGAGCTGGTGTGTCTTCGTTCTCGAGGGCCTTGAGGGCGGCTTGGGCGGCTGGGCTGATGACTTCTTCTTGTCACCCTTGTCCTCGCCCTTGTCGCTGGAGCTGCTGCTGCTGCTGGGCTTCTTCTTGTCGGCAAGCTCCTTAAGCTTGTCTTCGAGATCGTCGACCTTCTTCTTGAGATCGTCGGCATCCTTGGCCTTCTCTTCGAGATCGTCGACCTTCTTCTTGAGATCGTCGGCATCCTTGGCCTTCTCTTCGAGATCGTCGACCTTCTTCTTGAGATCGTCGGCATCCTTGGCCTTCTCTTCGAGATCGTCGACCTTCTTCTTGAGTTCGGCAACTTCGGCTGGGTCGGCCTTGGCTTCGTCTTCGTCCTTGCCGGAGCAAACAACTGGGGCATCCTCGGCGGCGGACTCGGCAACTGGTGTATCGGCAAGCTTCTTCTCGAGATCGTCAACGCGCTTAATAGTATCTTTGATCTTTTCTAATAAATCATCATCTAATATCTTTAATGTTGTTTGAGCTGCAGTACTAATAAAACCTTCATCATCGTTCAATTCTATTTCTGATTCATCACTAGTAGTGCTGCTGCTACTACTTGAATCTTCATTCATCTTTTGTTCCAATTCGTTTAATTTATTCTTTAATTTTTCAACATCTTCATCTTTCTTCTCATCTGGTTTATTATTTTCTAAGTTCTTTAATTGAGCTTGTAACTTTTGAATTTCATCATTTAATTTCTTAACTTCATCATCTTTTTCGCGTTTAATATCATCAATCTTGTTTTCTAATTCATTCAACTTATTATCATTGTCATTTAAGTCGATATCACGTGTTGCGCATACAACTGGAATGTCATCTGCTTCCTTTTCTTTTTCTTCATTCATTCCTTCCATTAATTTCTTTAAATCATCGATTTGCTTTTGTAAATCCTTATTTTTGTCGTTTAATTTCTTTAATTCATCGATTTGATTTTGTAAATCTTTATCTTCATTATCTAATTTCTTGCAATCTTCTTGTTGTTGTTGCTTGCAATCATCAATTTTTGAATCTAAATCATTGCATTTGTTTTCAATTAAGTCTCTTAATTCTTTAAGTTTATCTTCAACTTCCTTATTTACTAATTCTGTCAAGTTATTATTCGTATTTTGAACATTTTGATTGTAATTTTCAATAACTGTTAAATTATCTGTCTTGAGTTCATTGACAATAGTTTCGAGATATGTAACTTTTTCTTTGATGATTACAGTATCGTCAGTTACTTGCTGGCGAAAAGTAGCTGACTCTTCTTGTAATGCTTCGATTAATTCGTAAACTTCATCCAACTTTGGCATTTTATCTTCAATTTTCCTGTTAATATTATTATCTAAATCGCCCATTGATTGGCCGATCATTTCTTTAATTTTCATAATTTCATTATTGACATAGCTTGTTAATCTTGTTTGGGAATCATCGATTCCATCAACTTTTTCTTGTAATTTTGTATATTCATCATCTTTTGCGTTCTTTAAAACAATCTTCTGTAGAGTATTATATTTTTTCTCTAATTGTCCTAGACGAGATGAAATATCTTCACTCGTTGACATCTCTAAATTTTATAGCCTGACTAACGGTTATTTTTATTCGCGTGATCTGAATAAAATATAAAATTCGATTTTTCAAAGAGATTTTTGACATTTTATATACTCTATAGTATAGATAAATATTCTTAAATATTAATTTTACGGTTAAGACCATGTACTTTTCAAGTTTTATCATCCAGAATAAATTAGAATCTTGAAGATAGTAAATGTGTTCATTTTTAAATATATCGACATTTTTCAATATTAAAACAAAATTGAAATGAATATTCGGAGATTCACTTTTTCTGAATAACTTTGCAAATTACCTCAGACTTTTCAGAGGATTGAGTTGGAACTCAATCCTCTGAAAAGTCTGAGTTAATTTTTAGTCTCTACACTATTTCAATATAAGCTCCATTTTTAAACAGTTTTTAAAAATCGAGCATTGAGAAGTGTGATGAAACTTTTGAATTCATTTTCAAAATTCACAATTATTTTCATTGTAATAAATTTTATAATCTTATATTCAATTAATTATATTCTATAAATTTAAAATTGAATTTGATAATTTTGAGACCAAACTATTATTCAATGTTTGGGTTTCAATATTATCGAATGAACTTAATTTATATCAAACAAATATAATTTCCAATTTTGAATATTTTCGGGTTTTTTTTTTCAAACCAATTATTTCTTATACTATCATTATATTTGGATATGTAAAAAAAATCATAATAGTGATAACAAAAATTTCTCACTTCTTGATTTGCAAAAAAATTCATTGCAATAATGTTGTTCAATTATATGATTCATATTTTCTATCACTTCTATTCAAACTAACTCAGTTTATTATTTTTCAAATTCATATTTTAATGTTAAATTAAAACTTATCTTGTTTTAATCAAAACATTGTCATTTTAAATCGATATCTATTTATCATGGATTTGAAATTATTGTCTGACGTTTTTATTTCATTTTAATGCTTAATATCTAAACAGTTTATTATATCAGCAAAAAATCTTTATTTATTGAAAATACATAAAACATTATTTTGTTTTCATATTTCAAACTTTTCAACCAATATATATAATTTGAAATTCCTGTAAACAAATTTCCACAGCATTTTTAACAATATTTTGAAAAAAAAGAAAAGGGGTTGTATTATTGTCGTCTGGCGGTTTTAGACGACAATGCGAATCTCAGGATTGGTGTGCTTTTTAACTAAATTATTTATATGGTTTAAATAAGCAATATTTATATAAATATTTCATATAGTTATTAAGGATATATAACATATTTTTACAAATAATATATTATGAATATCTTCAAAACATATTTTTAACCTATAAAATCATGCGGACATATTGTAAATAAGCTATATATTCAAATACAATTCTTCACATAGCAAGAAATAGCTTTATTATTCTGAAATAAATATCGCATTTTATCAATTTGTTGTTCTTTATGATTTGATCTTCTCATGCATTAATATAGCATATGACCTATATGTTTTTTATAGAATTATAGGTAAAATTTGGTATATGCACCCTTTAAAATGTGTATTTATAGCACAAATTCATTTATTTTTCATGATATCAATAGTTGCGTTTTCCTAACCAATAATTCTTATTTCTTTATGTTTAAACTAATTGGCAATATAAATGGAAATATGTTATATAATATTATCTTAGTTAAATAGATTTTAATATAATATTACCTTAGAAAATGATATATAATTTTGCTCATGAACATCATTTTTGTATACCATTAATTGAGTTATTCCAACGCATAAGGCAAGAATCAATTAATTTTAATTAGCTAAATAATTAATAATAGTGATTCTATGAATGGTAAAAATGGTTGTGTCGCGTATTTTGGTGGTAAATATTCATAATAATATTAATTTATTTATTTTAAAATTTTATTAATTCTAATCTCTATATTGCTCTAAATATCAATAATAGTTTATTAAAGGCATTATAATATACAAATGCAAACACAATTAAACAATATCTCGTAATTCCCCTTTTTAAGATATGTATCCAAGTTTCTATCGTTGTTTCTTGAATATATATATATCAAAGATATGAATAGCGCTGGTTTTGTGATTGCATAAACAACTTATATATCAATATACTCAGTATAAGTGCATATATACATGGTATAATTTGGTTGTCCACCGAATGTATGCTCATATGGTGGATTACTTGCACTTTTTTTCTTTGATGCAAATGTGTCAGATACAATTCCTGATTTGCTCATACAGGTGCAGGGTCCTAGTGATAGACCCTGCAAATACATGAGCAAATCAGGAAAAACTTGCACTTTTTTTCTTTGATGCAAATGTGTCAGATACAATTCCTGATTTGCTCATACAGGTGCAGGGTCCTAGTGATAGACCCTGCAAATACATGAGCAAATCAGGAAAAACTTGCACTTTTTTCTTTGATGCAAATGTGTCAGATACAATTCCTGATTTGCTCATACAGGTGCAGGGTCCTAGTGATAGACCCTGCAAATACATGAGCAAATCAGGAAAAACTTGCAATTGATCTGAAGAATGTGAATCTAGCCTTATATTTCAGAAAATGATTTTATATTTGCAAGGAATGAGCATCATCCTATGCAAAGGTAAACTCATTTTAGAAAAATTTCTTTTTTTTTGGAAATGATTATTCTCAAATTCTATCTAAAACTCTCAATTAATAATCATATTCTCATTTAAACCTAGGGCTGTACAAAATCGAGAAAAACATTGCCGTGCGGTAATATAGGGTCAAAACTATTGATGTGGCGGTAAAATCACGGTAATTCACGGAAAGCTATATGCGAAAATTTGAAATTATACAAAATCGAGCGAAACACTTTTAAATAGGTTGTTCTCGTATTTAAAATACTATTCCCAGATTTATTGTCGTCAGAATATTTCCAAATTTTTGCCGATTTACAAAAAATGATTTACAAAGCATATTTTTTAATCTAAAAAATTCCTAAAAAATTCCTAAAAAAAGGAACCGGTGTGCGGAAACCTCGGTAAATTACCGCGGTTCCCGTTGGGACTGCCATATTTAAACCATATATAACATTACTTTATAAATCTAGATTTTTCCAAATTCTTAATTTTCATATGAAATTTATAATTTTTTATTTTAAATTCAGAATTTTGAATTTTTTTTTGGAAATTTTTATTTAATTTTATGTTTATTTTATTATATTCTTTATATATAACAATTTTTTCAAGTTTATTTTTTCAATATATACGATAATTATTAATTCAATTTTTAAACAAATGTTTTGATGGGACGAGCTTAAAGATCATAGGCTCATCCCATCAAAACATTCACTTAAAAACTCTGGCCTTCATCGAGGCCAGAGTTCACAATTCATATCCTCGAAGCCATGTTCCTCGACGGTCGTCCTCATTAGGCACGATCCGAGAGGAACTTGGCTCTGAATGAAACTCACAAGCTCTGGCTTCAGGAAGGGCCAGAGCTTCGCAAAGCATCCTCGGGGCCGGTTTCCTCAAAGGCCGCCCTGATTCGGGCGGTCGGAGAGGATTCCAGTCCCGAGAGAACGTCCCTACGAAGCTCTGGCCTTATCAGAGGCAAGCGCCTGCAAGATCAATCCTCAGGGCTGAGTTTTTCCATCTTCGTCATCATGGTAGATGATCTCGTGAGAACTCGGCCCTGAAAGACTTCATATTACAGGTCCTGGCCTCATGAGAGACCAGAACTTCGCAAATAATGCTCAGAGCCGGCTTTCTCAAATGCCGCCATGATCTATGGCGGCAGGTGAGGAATCTGGCCCTAAAAACATATTATTACGAAGCTCTGGCCACAATGGAGGTCAGAGCCTGCAAGATCAATCCTCAGGATCGAGGTTGAGGGAGATCGTCCGCATCATTGACGATCTCCTATCATCTCGATCCTGAAAGACTTAAAAATGCAGGATCTGACCTCTACAGATGCTACAACCTCGCTTACAGTTCTCAGAGCCAGCTTTCTCAAATGCTGCCATGATCTATGGCGGCAGGAGAGGAATCTGGCCCTGAGAACGGACTATTACGAAGTTTTGGCCACAGTAGGGACCAGTTCCTGAAAAAATACTCCCTTAACAATAAATTAAGATTTATTTTATCCAAGAAAGCCTTGAAGGAAGTCCAAACCATGAGAATGGGCTTCCTTCCAGGCTTACTGGTACTACTGGAGCGATTTTTGCTTCCATTGCAGCTCCTGAAATATATACTATAAATTATATTAAAAACATTGAGAATTTTGATTTCTATTTCATATGTCCAGCCTATAAAAGCATAGTAATGAATATTCCTGGCTCAAATCAGTTGAAAATGCAATTTTGTGCTGAGATTTCCAAAATTGGTTATAAAACTAGACTATTTTAATGAAGAAAACCAATAATAGGATCTCAAGTAGTAATATTCATTATGTGTTGTATAAAATAATTAATTCAAATATATAAATTAAAAATGAAACTATTTATATTCATTTTATTAAATTATCTATTGTTCACAGTAAAATCTAACTATTTCACATTTCAATAACCCGATACTATTGCAAACTTTAATAATTGCAATAATAAAGTTTTGGAATATATTCTCTATATTCATTCTGTGAGATACACAAATAAACACATTAGAAGTAGTATAGAAACATATATTACAATTATAACACAATGTCAAACACATCTCTTACCATTTAATAAAATTAGATAAAGAATCTCCAAAAATTAAAATATGTGTTTTTGCACTTATTTCTATATTTTATGCATTACTATAGGTATTCCGATATGAACCAATGAATTTTATCTGTTATATGTCAAAAACAACTTTAATCTAATGTGATCAAGTTGCATGATATACAACCATACATCCACTGCATATCCACATGATTCTATATATAATAGAGCATGTTCCGATCTAAATTAAAATGTTAGAAATGAATTGTACGAATTTTAAAACAAAAATTATTATTGTCGTCTGACGACAATAATAATTTTGTCACTTTTCTAGACGACAATAAAACATCCTCAAAAGAAAAATTGAATATATTTTTTGAAAAAATATAAAATATGCTGATCTTAATTTCAGTGGTCATGTGTAGCATCGTGTTAAAATGGTTATTGAATAGATAGTGTAATTTTAAAATTCTATTTTTTCTTAATATTTTGCAATAAGTAATGGTTGGAAATTGCACTTATGCTATCATAAAACCATATTTGATATTTGAAATATTTGAAGCGCTTTATTAGATTTTTTCAACTACAAAAATATATCTAAGTTTTTCTGAAAAATTTGAATTTTATTACAATTTTCATGATCAATAAAATATTTTAAAAGAGTAAAAATATAATATTTTAAATTTAAAATAAATTTAACTTCATAACAACGACAAATATTCATCCCATTAGAAAATTTAATGGAAATGAAATTTCTTTAAAATACTAATTTCATTCAATTTTTCTAGTATCCAAATTGCACTAGATGAATTATATATAGTAAAAAAAGTTATCGTAAAATAATGAATTCATTTTTTTTAATCACAAAACAATCGAATTTAATCGTATTTTGCTTTATTCCGATTTCATTTTACATATCAATCATAATTGAAAAATAAAAAATAAATCTGGCAGGGATTTTATTTAAAGATTGATACGTTCTGTTCTTTTTAATATGTATAAACAATACAGAATACTTATTCTTCAAATACTAACAAGCTCATTCAATTATTCAAAAACAACGTATTAATATTCCATTAAACTTATCAGGATTATGAAATATTTTTCGATGCTGAAATCAACTCAGATATATTTGGGTTTATTATATTTTGTAGTTTAGTTTTGAATACAAAATCCTCAATGGCTGCGACAAGCCAGGGGACAAGGATGGTAGAACTTCATCGACTGCTTTCAGCTTCTATAGACAAATGCGTAGTGATGATAAATGATGCTTGCAAAGCAAATCCATCCTTTCCAAATTCCAGATACAAATTATTGCGGTCGTTATACCAAAGTTCAGTAATCATTTCGCGTTTACTTGCCTCATTTAGGTTTGCGAAATCGCCAACATTGAAATATTATTTCAAACAACAGAGAAAATTACAAAGGAACAATATTAACACGTCTAAATATCTATTTCCCTTTCAATCCCAAGGAACTAATCGAAATTATCAAGAAAATTTAGAAGACATGCTTGATGAATCTATTTATCAAATAGAAACTGTGGTAGGTGACAATTATAAAATTCAGCTACTTATAGAACTGTTTTCATGCTCTGTGCATCCTTACATTAAATGGAAATGCCTTGGAGCTGACAGATTTCTTATATATTTCAAAAACGAATATAAATACATTATTCGAATTTCGAAAACTCTTAACTTGAAACTGGAATCCTACTCGATTGAGTATCCAAAAACGAAGCACTTATCAAAAGAAATATTTATTCAGCTTACTAAAATTGTCCAAGATTGCCTCACACAGCCATCTGCAGCCATTTCAAAAATCCATAGGATTCTACATACATTTTATGTATCAGGGCAGATGTCTATCTTTGCCGACTTGCTTGTTAACTATCAGAAAGATTTTCATTATTGCATTTCCAGAATCGAAAATGGATTGGAAATCGAATTCAACGAGCAGATGCATATCAATAATAAATTCAAAATCACATATAGCCAAGATGGTATTGTTGTATTTAGTGACATTCCATATTACATCCCACGAGCTATCTACAATAATGAATGCAACTACTTTACGAATTTCTTTACAAGCCACACGTTTTCGAATATCGATACAACAGATTCTCCAGGAATGCCGGTTGTAATCTATTTTTCGATAATGGATCGTTTCAAAACAGAATTGCAGGTGATTCTTAGCACAATGCGCGATACAGTTTACTACTCACACCTTTGCAGAAACTGGATTCCTATATCGAAGGCAATCACTCTTTCCTCAAACTCAACTGCTTTCAAGTTGACCATAGATTTCGATATCAAGCACTCCAAATTTTCTTCATATAGACTATATTCTCACAGTGAAGAAGACGCGAAAATAACAATAGATGAAGAAAAGAACCAGTACGTTGTTGATTTTGAAGCATTTGTCACCAAATTTTGCTTTGATCGAAATATCTCAGACAGTAGACAGTTTCATGTACAAATTTTCCCTCTTTTATTCCAGCAGTTTTTTAATCTCATTATTTCCCCTTCTCTTTCTATCACGTCAGAAGCAAATCGTAACTATATCTTTGGATGTGTTTTATCTTTTGCTCCACATTTCCAAGTTCTCTTTGGCGTGGATAGATTGAAACCAACAATAAAAGTCGTTGATCTCGAAGGAAATGAATACATTTGCCCAGAACTTATCAAGCTTCGAAGCTTAATTAAGGAACTCGATATCAAGCAAAGCATGCATCAGATGGAAATCTACATTTCAACATTCATATTCATTCTAGAAGTGGAATATCTCTTAAAGGAAAATAAGTACAGAACAGAGAGATTTGCCAATGGATTGATATTCTCGTATTCGCATCTCTCCTCTGCAAAAATAAATACAGTTGGAAATCAATGGAGATTGACAATCATCTTTGACAATTCTGCTTGCTTGCCTCTTAAAGAGAGAGCCTTCCAGTTTTCAGGAGAAATTCACACAGCAAGATCAGCTGAACTTGTGATCGAACTCCTCCACAAATTCACTTCTTACATGAATCTCTCAGGACATATGATTTTCGGATCTGCAACTGTTGACTCTGTGCTAAGAGATACATTCAATTTCAACCAGGAAGGAAGCTTCTTAACAAACTGTAAAATCGATGGAATGGGCGAGACTGCTTTCTTCTGCGTGTCCTTCTCAAGCAATTCCGTCTTCGAAGGATTAACTTCAAAGTACCAGACAATACGCCTCGGACACTCTGTCCCTTCAGTCGATACTCGCTTCATTAAAAACTTCACTTCCAATAACTCTTTGTCTTACGCCGATATCACATCTTCGGCTGATACAAAGTTCATCGCGTACCTGATACACTCAAGTATCGCAATGGTCACTCTAGAAGGTATCGGACGCCGTCCTGGATGGAAACTTCTCAGCTGGTCATCACCAACTGTTTTCCAACTTGTCTACAATTCGAAATTCACGTTGAACATCGAATTGAAGCCAATGCACAATCTTTACCTCTGTGTTTCTTCTAAAGTTCCAAGTGCTGTTGTAATTGTTCCACTTGCAAGCCTCCAAGTAAACAATGCAACAAACGTCAAAAGCGCTTACAGAATTAGATACACGGTAGCAGAACTCGTCAAGATGATACCAGAAGTAGAGAAATTTGTTAAGAGATACGAAGAAGCAATGAGTGTTGGATTCAATAACGGGCATCTTGTAATGAATACAGTGCCCCAGATTATAATGAATGTTCCAGGAATAAATTGTATCATTGAAAAAGAGAGGACAGTTCTTCAATCCGAAGATCAGATGCTTAACAATGAATTGCAAGCAATTCCTGCTTCAATGGATGTGATGAGATTGGTTGTTTCACTCTTGCAAAGACCTGGATTATTGCTCTTCGCTGTGAGAATTCTCAAACAAATGTTCGAAATCGATAAAGATGCTGCAGAAACAACTGCAGCTACAACATTTATTGAGAATAGAAATGTCATAATGAATATTAATGGCTTCCCATTCGAACTCACAGAAGGAAAAGCAATATGCGGAGATCTCTTCTTCATGAATACTCAGAAAGAAATCGAACTTGCACTCGTGCAAATTGTTAAATAATAAATTTATTTTGTTGATTTGTTTTAATTATAAAATTATTTTGTTGCTCATTAAATTCAAAAGTTTTTTTAACCAAGAAAATCATTCTAATTCTGTAAGTAAAAAATGAATGAATTATATAAAAAGAAACTACAAACAAAATATATTTATTAGTCATCAACATAGAGCCTCTTAAATGTATTTGAGCCATATACATTCTTCATTACTGAGTCAACAGCAGGCATGATAATACTTAAATTCAACACATTATCTCGAACAGCTCTATATGATATTGATTGATCTCGAACAACAGTAATCTTTTTACCAGTAAAAATGGCGGTTCTCAAGAAACAGAACTGTCCCTTTTCCATCTGGATTTCAATAACATATGTATCAGGCTGCATAAATACTAAATTGGCCATAAGGGCCCCATGAACAGCCAGTAATAATTTCATCTCATTAAAATACTTTATCTGGTCAACAATCCTATCATAAAATACTCCTTGTTCAAAGGATATATTCTGATACTTACGTGAGGCTTCTTCTAGCAACAAATCAAAATTTCCAAGATGTCTAGACATCCCTTTTTTCCTATTGAAAAATACGAAGCGAAATGGTTGGATTTTATCTAGTGAAAGAGACTTCACTATATTTCGTCTGAAATTAATCATTCCTTGGTATGAGATATAATCACAGTAAGGAGCTCTAACGGTGTGTAGATTTTTGGCATGGAAATAAAGGTCATCTCCATAAATAATTCTTGACTTTTTAATTTCTAGAATATTCAAGCAATCAACAAAAAATTGAGAGATTCTAGGTACTGCAATAATACTTCGATTTAAAACATCTTTGGGTATATACCAATAAAGCGGAAAGATTTCTACCATCCAATGGCCAAAGTCTGTCGAGTGTTGATGTCCAATACAAATAACATCATCATAGCTATTATATTTTATATCTATTATCGGATGATCTTCTGCTGAATAATTAAAAAATCTTGGTCTGCATTGGATGCTATTAATATAAATTGTATTGTTAAAATAAAAAGAAAGATCTGTTCTGCAAATAACATTCTTGTAATTGAAATAGTAGATATTGTTAAATGCATGCATAAATACATCTGCAATTTTTGTATTTCCGATATATTCCGGAGAATAAGTTGGATATCCTTGAGCAAAATCGGTAATTAATTTCGAAGTAGAATTGAACGGTAAAAGATATTTTATTTCTAATGAAGGATAATCAAATTTTAGTGAATGGGAAAAAGATTTTACATCTATTAACTGAGGTGCTTGTTGGAAATTCCATAAAAGCAAAATCATCGGTAGTGAGAGTAAAATTATTATCCAATTTATGCTCTTGAAGATTATCTTAAAATCCATTATTGGATGCAAAATCATGCATTATTGAAAAATGATAATTAGCAAGTAATTGGATTGACATTCAAAGTAAAAGTGCAATGATGGTAATATTTTAAATCCAAAGTTCAGAAAAATGTAAGCTCTACCAAATGAAGAGAGAAATGATAAAGGGTATTTGCAGCCATCAGTTTAATGAGGAAAGACAAGATATGTGTTGACTTACTATAAAAAAAAATTAAAATTATAAAATATTTTTGAAATTTATCAATAATTTATACAATACACACAAAAATAGCTCTATAATATAGTTTTGGTTTTCTTCAAACCAATAAATCTGTAAAATAATTAATCTTCTTCAGATTCTTCTGTTGAATTCGCTTCAGACTTTGCAGCTGCATTATTTCCGTTTCTTATGGAAAGGTAAGTGTATTTAGCTCCTGCAATTGAATCGAGAATAAGTTGCAGGGTAGAACCGAAAATAAAAGGCCAGGGAGAATGAGTAACATAGCATAGGAAGATCTTAAACATATCTCCAAATACATACTGTATGATGAGAACAATAGAGACTGATTCAATATTACTGTGTATAACAACTAAAGAAAATACTGGAAGAGGAACAAGCGCATCTATTAAGTTTGCTATAATCGAAGATATATTTACTGCAGTGTGGACTCCGCAAATAATCTTTGTAATTATATAAAAAATGAAAAATATCAAGTAGTAAAAGAGAACTGACGTAAAAAATTCTAAAAATGTTAATGCTGAAAAGATATTCATTGCCTTTTTTGGATTTTTTGTAATTGTCTCGAAAATTTGTGAAACAATCGAAGTATTGTTGCCAAAATGAGGTATTTCACTAGTGGGATTTTTTGCGAGAAGCCTAAAACGGAGGAACGTGTGTAAAAATGCTACAAAACATAATCCTACACCTTGACCGAATAAAACAATCGGAAAAGGTTCATCTATGAAGAATGTAATTTTGATGAGTCCTTGTGAAATCAAGATTAAACATAAATTTAACGCATAAATGTTTGGATTATTCTTCAGAATCATTAATCGAATCTGATCAAAGTATCCAAATGTGGGAAAAAGCATTAGCATTCCATCCATCATCATGTATGGAAACCTTGGTATTAGCTGTAATATTGTTTTTGATATAATATCTAGTGGAAATAATGCTAAAGACATAATTTCTGAATCTAAGAATTTGAATTAAAAACGATAATTGTAAATTTGAAATAGAATTTTTTTTATCAAAAAAAGCTACTAATTAACCCATTATCCAAACAAATTGAAAATGAATAAAAATCTTATTTTGAAGAATTCAGAATTGAAACTGTTCCAATGTCACGCGAAGTCCTCTAGACCTCGAACAATTGCTACACTAGTTTCAATACTACAACTTGACCTCTATAATGCTTGGTTAATATAATCAGATGATCCCCTATTTAACTAAATATCAAATTTTCTTTTTCATCTCTTATAGTTTCAAGACGAATTTATATTAACTTTTTCAAGCTTTCTGCAATTGAAAATCAAGCAAATATTCAATATGAACATGAATTAAAAAAATCGAAGAGATAACATAATGGATCATATGTTTTACACCTACACAATGAAATGATTCAATAAAACTATCTTAGATCGAACTATAGATTTGATTCGATATCATAAAATTAAAACCTTTATAGTATATACCCCGTGTCATAAATACACATAGTATGGGATTTTAAAATTTTATCTTTACTCACATACCTTTAAAAAAAAAGAATCGTATTAAAAATATGTAAACATTTTACTCGATAAAAGAATTCTAAGTAAATTTCTGTTATGTGAAAGCATTTTTACGATTGTGGTGTAATCCAGTTTGATGGAATAGGCGTTTGAGTATATTTAGTTAAATACTAAAGGTATCTGATTAAAATAATTAGAGATGGATGCTAAAAAGTTCCGCTGAGAATGATTTGCTTGTCTAGGATTAAATTGCAAAACAAGGAAATTATAAAGCAGGATTTAAAAGAATAAGTATACTGTATTAAGAAATTAAACTTGATCTTTGTATTCTGTGTTTATCGTTTAATGGAATTGAAGAATAATTTGATAAGAAAAAATTTTAAGCCTTTAGTAGGATTGTAACAATTAGAAGATTTTGAAGTATTGCCAAAGCGTTTAAACTTTTCTATCTAATATCTGAGATATCTTTGCTATGCATGGAGAAACAATATAAGATAAAAATTTCGAAGAGTTATCGTTTGGAATGAGGTAATGGTCAAGAAGGAACGAAAGTCTTGTTGTTTGCTCCGTCACTAATTTTCCAATTTTTTTTTAAAATCGAGAAAATGAGTAGAAATCCTTCATTTCTTTAAGGGTGCACCCGTATGTACGTTTATTTGAGAGGAGGAGGATTACCCTCTCAATTTTGAGGGATTCGTAAGTTTATTTTCTCGATGAATATGCAATAAAATTTGATTTTTACCTTATCAATATACTTCATATAATATACACATGTTCATGTAAAAACTTTTTTCCAAAATCCTCAGGAATTAAGGGATTTTTGAATTTTAAGAATTTTTTCGAATTTTTTCGAAAAAAAATATTTTCAGAACAGCCTTAACGGCTAAGATTTAGGAACAATGTTAAGTATCAAAAAGAAAGGAGGTCTGATATAGACAACATATATCGTTGAAGGTTGAAAAAATCTCTAATATTTGAGCCCAAAATTTCAAATTTTAATTTTTTGAAAAAAGAGGCCACCCGTATGTACGTTTATTTGAGAGGAGGATTATATTTTTGAAAGGGTGAAACATTATGAATATGTTAATTATATAATAATATGTATTATTATAAAAAAGAAAAAATAAAGCACGTTAAAATTTTTCTTTCTTGATTTTTTACAAAATCTACTTAGAATTATGCAAAATATGACTAAATAATTATAAATTTCAAGTTAAATTTTAATTTTGATAAATAATTTAAATTTCAAAATATCAAGTTCAGTTCGACTATGTATGTAGTAATTCCTCAATAAAGTGCCAAAACCCTATTAAAATATATGAACATTTTCAACATTTTAATGTTTTTATTTAAAAATTTGATGGAATATGAGCTTCAAACAATTATTATGTAAATAAAAATAATTAAATATATGTATTTATTCGTATTACAACCGTAGTAAGTCGATTCTTCCTTTCTTCTACTGAGGTTTGAATTTGATTTCGAATTGTAAAGAGATTCAAAGGGAAAATACTAGCGGATAAAAACTACCTCCATGAAAGGGTCATAATGGACTCAAGTTGTATTTTTTGATATTTTTTGCTTTTCGAGCCTAAATAGGTAGCCAAGATAATGCCTAAAAATAAGGTTCTAAATTCTGAAGTTTACATGATCCTCTCGTGTGCACCCTTAATATGTTTTTATAAATTCAATTTTTTTTTGGAATTTTGAAATATTAAATTGATTTTTTTAGAAAATTAATCAGTTAAATAAGAAAACTAAATAAGTTAAAATAATCAATAATAAAGATAATTTGATATAGAACAGTTAAATTTGTATACAAATGAAAAATTAAAAAGATTATCTTATAATCGGATAATTTTCACTAATACTCAGAATGGTAACAACCATATTAGTAATTTGAATTATGTGGACAAATGTTAACATGATAGTTTAAAAAGCCGTGGAAGATTAATATAATTCTTATGAATAAATGAAAATTTTTCTTGAACCCTTATCAAATAAATTGATACGTAGATAGTGAATATAGATTACAGAAAAAAAAATATATTAGATGGAAAAAGAAAAAATCAACGACGACCATGGGATTCGAACCCACGCGGATAAATCCACGGGATTAGCAATCCCGCGCCTTAACCACTCGGCCAAGCCGTCATTACGAAGATAAAATATGGATAACCTCTAAGATAAAACTCAGGCATTTTGATTGGAGAACAAGATTTTGGTCATACGATTAAAATCATTTGATGTCATATCAATTTGTTAGAAATGGAGCCAATATGCTTGAAATGGGCTTAAAAACCAAACGTATTTCCCTTTCAGACTTCTTGAAAAGTGATTTTTCGCTTCCTGGTTTATCCAGAAACCTTCCTTTATTCACTCAATTTGTTATTGAACAAATTAAAAACATTAATATGCATGCGCTTCCCAAAGTCATTGATCCTAAAAACTTATTGTCGAACAGAAGCTTTTATATTCTAGTAGCCAACTATCCAAGAGTTGCAGAATTCCTCGAAACAAACTACAAGATGTATATTGACATTCTCACTGAAAGGCTTACAACAGGAGATGGCGATTATGTACGCACTATGATGGTTCTTGAACACATTTTATTAATCCATAATCCAATCCTTTCTTTGAGTGCAGAAGAGTCAACTTCATTTTTCAAATTACTTCTTGACCACATCCAGAAAGGTTCAATACTTACATTATTAATTAACATTGCTAAGCATCAAGCTCAGCAAGAAAAGAATTGGTTTGATATATTCAATTCCTGGGAAATCCTAAATGAATACATTTCAAAGCAAATACCAGAAGTTTTCCAAGCTTCTTTATACTATATCAAGACTTTCAAAATTTCATCCACATTATTAAGTCAAATTTGCTCAGAACAGTCTCTCAAATCATTTTTACAGTATGCTACTACAAGCGATAACAAACAAATATCCGAACTCTCATTTAAGTACTTAGTTTCATCTGAAGAAATCTTTTTCTCAGGATCAACTCTTCAGAGGCCGAAACTTTTTGCAACATCAAAGAAAACAAACAATGAAACCATTAGTTTGAATGAAGAGCAGCAAAAGTTATTAGCTTCATTTTCAGAGTTTGTTAAAAGCGTTCAATCTGATGTTTCGACATTTATAACATCAACACCAGAATTCACATCAAACAAAAAAGTTGCAGTCCAATTCATGTTAAATTATGAAGCTACTACAACAGTTACTACAGAACAGATGTACAAAGTTCTTATGTATCTAAATACAAACATCACGGCATTTCCAACAAATAACTTCCTTGCGATTTCATTAGTTGATGCTGTGAGAGATGTTTCATCCTCATCAAACTTGAATGATTTTGATCTACAACCTGTTGTTCAAAACATCATTTCATTGACATCAAATAAGAAACAAATTGCTGCATCTTATTGGGGATGTCTCGATAAGATAGCAAAGAGAATAAATAAGCTTGTTGCCGACCAAAAGATTTCACAACCTGATACATGGAAGAATTTCATTGACAACTATTTGGAACCACGCACTAAAATCTGCAATGAGAATTATGGTGGATTCGATCCAGAGAATTTCAAGTCCGCTCAAACAGCCAGATATTATTGCATCGATGAACAAGATACATCGAAGCTTCCAAAGGAACTCCAGCCAAAACAAACTGCAGCTACTTCTGATAAGAAGTAATTTTTATCTTATATTTTATAGAGAATTTTTTATTATTATAAATATATGAATTTACTATTTTGATTAATTGACATTGCCTCTAACTTTTTTTTCAAAAAAGGAGCATCACTATGATAACTGGAAGTGTGCTGTATCTATACAAGGAAGATTAATCCTAGTTCTGGAATTTGATATTTTGGTGTTCTGGAATTTTTTCTCAGGTAAAATTTCATAATTATGGTCTCCATATAGGAGAAACCTTTCAAATTTTAATAAAAGACATTTAAAATTTTGAATGAGAGACATAAATTAGGATTGATTTGTTTTTATATCATTAACAAAGCATCAAGCTATGCTTTAATAGTAAACAAGGAATTGTTTTTAATAAGTTTGCAATTTCTTTGAAAGTGGAAGAAATTTTTCCAAAAAAACCGAAGTGAACTTCCCTTTCATTTTATTGAATGGATGATTACAAGTTAGGTGAAGATGATACTGAAGATGAGATAGAAGTCACTGCCAAATGGGGTATCAAAGGCTATGGGAGTGAATTCTATCAGATTACTTCATTAATTGATGAATTTTTGTCTTCAGATCCGAATCAAATTGAAGCAATTTCTTCCTTATTGAAGACATTAATTGAAGAAATAAATTCAAAACCTAAAGAAGCAACCAAATCATTAGATAATGTTCGCAATTTATTCTTTGAAATACAAATGTATTTTCAAAATTTCTACAATGAACAGTACATCGGAATTATTACTCAATTACTCCTACTAATGGATACCATTCTTACGAAAAATGCAGATTTTTCCAAATTTATAATCGATGTTTCCGATGATGATCCCGATCAATTACTTGATTCATTTATGAAGATCCTAGAAGATAGGACTGATTATGAAAATTCACTTTACATCTTAAGAGTCGGAATTATTTTTTCAATTATCGAAAATTCCTCAAAAAACAATGCATTTATTCTATCAATCAACCAAGATTTTATTGACTGCTTAAATACAACATATTACGTTTTTGATGCCAATGCTTTGAGCAGCGATCATCTAATTTCAATAAATTTTGTTCGCATTTTATACAAATATTTTAAATCAAAGACATACCTCGACAGAAAAACAGCCGAATACATCCTAGAACTCTTTAATTTTCTTGCTTCAAATATATTTTTTGAAGATGAAATTATCATTTCAAATTGTTTAAGTGCACTCAACGAAATGATAACAAACCATGAAGATTTGATACACATGTTCAATTCCTTTTCGATTTACCAGACAGTTCCTGATATTCCATGCAATCCTGACTGTGAAAAAATAAAATTTGATATTTTCTCAAATTCTTTACATATATACGACGAAGAGACAAACAAAAAAGAGACAAAGAAAATCATTGCAGATATTTCTGCTTCTGTTCCAATGGACTACATAATCTCTAGATTAACAGAAGTGGAACATCATGAGCTTCTTTTTTCGGGTTTGACATTGATTTACAGCAAATTACATTTTGATAAATCAATTGTTAATTTGGACGTATCGAGTTTGTGTAATTTGATGAAAATAACATGGGAACATATAGATTTAGATACAAAGGACCTCATTACCGATGTAGTTATCTTGATATCGAAGTTCTCTGATAAAGAAAATTATAATAATATTATTAACAGTGGAATTATCACTGAAGTTGTAGATTTCGCACAAAACCAGCATGATAAATGCAAGTCATGCATGCAAATAATGATTAATGCTGTAAATTTGAATCCGGAATTTGCAAAACTTGAAATGATGCAGCAATGCTTAGATGAGTTACTAGAATGCATCGAAGAAAATGATTGGGAAGATATTGAAGATCTTGGCGATGTTTTGACAAATAAATTTAATGAAATTAATTCGAAGGAAGAATAATTGTTTGTAAACTGTAAATATATATCGTTTTAATACAAAAATTCTGTTTGATTTGATATTTTACCGTTGATTTAGAATTTATAAAGCTGATCTTTGACCAAATCTTCTACAAAAGTGGCCAATTCAACAGGAAATACTTCTTTCATTGTTGAATTCGGAACTAATTGATATTTATCAAGTATTTGTTCATTGTAAAGAAGATAATAACTTTTTCCAAGCGTGTTGACGAGTCTTTTTATGATTTTATTAGAAATCGGTTCGATATCGATATTATTATCAAATTGAATGATATTTTCCCAATATTGTTTAATTTGTGACTCTGAAACCGATTTTTCAGGAAGCCAATGAATTCCTGATGGTGTCAAGAATCCATACATTAGTCCTGAATCATCGTCGAAGCAATGACAAGATATAACGTTTGCTTCATCGATGTTCATTCAAGAAAAAATGAATTTAAATCTTAGTTTTTTCATAACTTAGCGACTTTAATGAGGTTATTTGAAATCATAATCTTCTCATTTGAAAAATATCGTTATTGATTCACATTTTATCATCTGAGACATATTCTAACCAAGATAGCATTGAAAACTTCCGAATACTCTTATTTTTGCTAAAATTTCTTTTTGCACAACATAAAGTCAATTTTGACGAAAAATGATATCAAAAAGATAAAAGGATTAAATAACAAGGAAAAAGAATATATTATTTTACAGTTACATTGGCAATAATAGTGATCTAACACGGCTAGGAAGAAGAATGAACTTTATCCAAAATTATTCGATTTACTCATTAAGTGTAATATTCTTTCATACAGACATATAATGAAAGAGTTTGACCTGCTTGATATGGGTTTGCTTTATCAAGACATAGATACTCAAATTGATTACAATTATCTATTGAGAAACCTGACAAATTTATTGAAAACTTTTCGAGGGGATTGAATCCACCCATCAAATCATCGAATAAATCGAGTTTCAAACAGTTGGATTTCTCTAATAAGTGTCTGTTACCCATGCTTATTTTGATGAAAAGGGCTCATTTATTTTTGAGATCGATTATTGATTCGGGCGCGTAAAGGTTTGGCGTCCTAAGGCGTCCTGATGTAAACTATTCAATTTTTGAGAAGTTTACACCATAATTGAATAGTTTATGGCGTCCTGAGAAGAGATTTCAATGGGTATGGCGTCCTAAAAAATAGAAGAAAATGATTTTTTCTCGATTTTTCTAGAAATTGAATTTTTTAAAAAAGAAAAAAATCAAAACGTATACATTCAAGAAAGACTATAAATGAAGATTTTTCTATTTTTTTTCATTCTAAAACATCTTTTTTTTGATAATTTTTTTTTTAATAAATATGTAAGAAAGATTGAAGAAAAAGTAAATTTACTTTAAGAAAATTCGTTTTACATGATGTAAGACCCATAACAACTATAAATATTCCATTATTTAAAATAAAAAAAGAAAAACAGATTAAATGTATCTCACATCAAAATCCATTGACCTAAGGATGTTAAGTTTCTGTTTTTAAAAGTTGATATTTTTTTTTTAATTTTAAGAAAATTAATAGCATGTTATTAGACAATAGGAGTGTAATGATATTGACTAAACAGAAATGAGAGAATAGAGATATAATTTTGATAAGCAATATTAGTAGTAGGATATGAAGGGTTGTGTGACTTTTTTTGTTGCATCTATATATAGACGATGCATTAAAATATATTTATTTATAAATCATTAAAAAATTAACATTAATTTTAAAATACCCAGATTTTCCTTACTTTTACCACTCCCCATGTAATTTCTGGGGAAAACGATAATTCATTTTTTTTATGGATGAATAGATCGTTTTCCTAGAAAGGACCTCATATCTCTGGCTAAAAAGAGTGTCAGATCCTAAATAGATTATTGATCTAGTGTACAAATCCAATAAAAAGCCTATTTTTTGGCTTTTTTGGTGCTCATTTTTTCGAAGATCTACATGAATATGGGGAAACCATCGGATTTTTTTGGTTAACCCACATCTTCATGTAGTCTGGACTATCTTTCCTCGAAGGACCTCTTTACGGGTGTAAAAACTCATAAAGTTCTCAAAAGATTCATTCTCGATCTCCATGCTGAAAGAATTTACAATAAAAAAGAGTTCTACGCATCAAACTACAGCTATAAATGAACTGAACCCCTAAAGCTCAGCTCTTAGTTTATCAAAAACGTCGAAATCCTTCTCATTGCAATCAAATTTTCTCAATAACTCATAAGAAAAATCGAATTTTGATTAAGCCGATGTTATAGGTATCACAAATACTACAAACTTGAGCAATATCGAAATTGCCAGCAAAAGTTTGAAATTGCATTGCTCATATTTGTTTTGTAAACTAAAAATCTGCTTATATTATTCATTAATTTTTTATATATTATTCATATACTTTAATAAAAACAATACTATTTCACCTTAAAAATGAATTTCATAAGTCAATATTATTTTTTTGAAAATGTATCAATTTTCGATTAAAACAACATGAGAATAAAATTTACGCAAAATTATTTTAAAAAATGGTTTTAAAAATTTACAATTGATTAAGAATAAGATTGCAAGAAGTTTTGAAGTTTAATTTTAAGAAAAAAAATTCGGATATTATTCATGGATCTAAGTAATCTGATATTTGAGTATCGGCACTATGCATAAAACATATATTTATAGTTTTTTTGGAGTTTTATGATTTTAAATATATTCAAATTTGGCAATCCAATAGATTTGTAAAAAATAGGTAAATAAAAATAGATTACATATGCAGCAGATTTAGAACATGAAACAAATCTTATAGTGACCAAAAAAATTCATGATCCAAAAAAGAAAAAAATTGGCTAAATGGGAATCAAACCTTGGCATAATGAATCATTATGTCGGATGTTTCCACTACACCAGCAGTTCGAAAAATACCCTTGGTGGTTCTATTTAATAGCTACTCCCAACGATAGGCGGTGTCCCCAGCTTTAGAGAGGTGGTAAAAGTAAAGCAAATCTGGGTAATTTATTTTTTTATCTTTTATAAAAGAAGCTATATATAGATGATGTCAGATATTCCGCGATTAATTAAACATTGTTTAAATCCTGAATGGAATCAATGGAGTCATAATCAAAGACCTCATAAACGAGTAAAAGAAATTAGATATAATTATTTTCATGAATGAAAGATTCACTACCATAATGAAATAAAAAATGAAAAAATAAACTTTAAAAATTCATGTCTTACATTTTTGAATAATTTATTTTTATTTTGTATGAAATGAGCGTCAAAACTAACAACGTTAAAAAATTAGGATTCACAAATGAGAAAATAAAGGATATATTAGAGGAGGCGGGTTATGAAGTTAGTAAATATTATTTAAGAAATTGTCAAAAATTCGCGGAGTTTTTAAATGAGTTTGATTATGATGGAAAAATGAATAAAGATGATGTTATAAATTTCTTATATCCCACATCTAAAGAAGAAAAACCTAAAGAACCTGATGTTTTCCCTGAATATTATGAAGAACAAATTAAAGATGATGATGAATACGATGAAATTGAAAGACTGAAAAAAATAAGAGATGAAATAGATGAAAAAATTAAGGAATTAAGAGAAGTTGAAAAATATAATGAAAATGAAGTAGAGGGTTTAATGAATATCCCATCTTCAGAATCAGAAGTTCAGAAATCTCATGAAGAAAGATATAAAAATTATGTCTCAGAATCAACACAAAATTTATTAGATGGTGAAATAGACGAAACACTTTCAGAAGAAGGTACTAAATTTATTTGTAAACATAAGTTACAATTTATTGATAATGAAGAATACCCTTGTATCCTACTTTCACCACCTTTAGATTCCGAAAAATTCAAAAAAGCTCTTAAAAACGTGACATATGCAACTAATACGATTAAGAAAGAAGATCATGATATTTACACAAATTATTATTTAAATAAATGCACGGGTGTTGATAAAGTTTTTGATTTATTAGATAAAATATCAAAAGAAACCATTGGAACATATAAAATTTTGTGTGATTGTGGTTTCATTATTGAAGATACCAATAATGTTTCATATGAAAGAACAGCACCGAAGGAAGACGAAGTGGAAAGGTCTATACCATTCGTTATTAAGAATATAAAAGATATGAAAACTTATAAACATTATATTTATTCATTTATTTCAGAAAAAATGGAAGCAACCCATAAAACATCTTCTCATCATTTTATAGCTATTCATACATTCCTTTTCAAAGTTGTGAAATTAAATAAGACAGGAATTAGATTTAATGTATCAGGGTACGCATTCTTGAGTAAATTAAAATGTATTCGTCACGTCGCAGATGATAAAAATTTATGTGTTCTTAATTCATTTTATGGGCTTTAAAAATAAACTTTATTTTTATTTATTTTTTATTCTTACATAAATGAACAAAAACGGAACCGCTAAAATGAATGATAATCAAATTAGAGCAGAAGGTAGAAGGTTATTTAAACGCTTCTATAACATTCCTGATGGTGTTAATCCTAAAACTCGTAGAAGTTATTTAAATGAAGCAATAGATTCATATGAAGGGTTTGACATTTCATCAGAAAGTGAGAGATTAGCGAGAATGTTAAATGTTAATATTGATTTCTATTATTGTGATCTCAACCAGAAGACGTGGACATAAATAAGGTAGACTTTCCATTAGTGGAATCAATAATGATAGATCCAGAATTTGAAACAATAATATTTTATTAACACAGAGTCCAAATGGAAAACTTCACGCTGACAGAATAACAGACGTTGAAGCACTCACCGGCTATAGAGTTTGTCCATATTGTAAAGAAGAAGTTTATTCTATCCGTGATGATCCAGAAAGGAAAAACCAAAGAAGATTTTTAAAGCATTGTGAGAAATGTAAAGAAAATAATGGAAGATTAATTCAAGACGTTCAGTTGCAAAAGACACAGCAACCATATGCACCACATATTACGAAACAGAAGATATATCAGTGGTTATTAGCTCATAATTGCAGGAATATTATCAACCGACAAGATATTATATTACTTTTGACTTCGAAACATTAGAGACTAAAGAAGAATTACAACTTTCTGAGTGTGCAACTTTGAACGCTTACTTAAAACCATTCATGGTATCATCAACGGTTAAATTAAATGATAAAACATATACGAGGAATTTTTGCTTAACTTCGAGTGATTCTTTTATTTCTGATTGGATTGAGTTTTTTATTTTCAACCTGTTCATTAGTTGCTAAATCAAATATTGAACAATATGAAGAATTAATGAAGTCCCATACATTAAATGAAAAACAGAAGGAAGCATTTAAAGAACTTCTAGATGAGGAATTCAATAAAGTGAATATCATAGGTTTTAATTCGGGAAAGTTTGATTTAAATTTAATTCTTCGTGATTTAAACACTGCAAAATGGAAAATAAAATCAATGCTGGGTTCATCTTCACAATTTAAGCAAATCATTGTAAAGAAAAAAACGTTCCATATGAATTGAGATTTATTGACATCAGAAATTATATAGCGGGTGGGACATTAGACCAATTCACTCAAGATTTCGGAAACAATAAATCACGTGTTAAATCCTTTTTCCCTTATCAATTCATCACATGGGAGAATTACGAAGAAGAATTATATAAAGTGGAACCATTCACGAAAGATTCATTTTATTCAGCATTAACTCAAGAAACTATATCAGATAGTGATTATCAAATATATCTCAATGATGCTAAAAACTTTAAGAATAGATTAGAATATTTTATTCATTATTGCAATAAAGATGTTGAAATTATGATTGACCCAATTGATAAAATTATTGAAGAAACATTTGTTTATAAAATTGATATGCTTCATAATCTTTCTTTATCATCGAATGCTTCAATGATTCGTTACGCTTTAGCATATAAAGACTTTAATCCTAATGAAAATATCCTGAGGAAGAGATAGAATCAAGTTTTGAATTAACGAAAAAGTATTGGAAATATAAAATTGAATCATATAAGAAACAAGATGAAAAAGCAGAAAGGGATACTAAAAATAATGTTTCAATGGATGATTTCAATACTATCACGATTTAATCCTTTCATCTAAATGCAAAATGTGTGGTAAAGCGTTTACATATGCAAATAAACCAACATTGGATAGAATCGATAATGAAAAACAATACTAAAGAAAATTGTCAGTTAATGTGTTGTTATTGCAATGTCGTGAAATCAAATAAAGATGAAGATGTTCAACGTTTAAGAATCAATTTAAGAAATTATGCATTAAAAAATAATTTACCAATGACTTTAGATTCAGTTGAAGCTTATCACATTCTCCGTAATGGAATTACTGGTGGTTTATCAAATGTTCAACATAGAGTAAATCTTAAAGGAATCACGCACATTAATAAACTTTCATATAGTCCAGAAACTAAAACTGTATCAAATGAGGACACACCAACATTATGACTCATTTCGTTGGTGTTGACTTTAATTCATTATATCCTTCATCATTTTCATCTAATCCTCATGATTTCATTCAATATACTGACCATAAAATGTATATGCCGGGAAGATTGAATGGTGTTATCATTTGTGATACAGCAACAAAGAAAGCAAAAGCACTGGGAATAATTAAGAAGAAAAATACTTTATTCGTGGCTGAAGTAAAGGGTCACATTGATGAAAAATACATTAATGATTACATAAACTTTTTACCGATAATAAGAAACTTAGATATTATCACAGATGAAAAAACAATTGGCAGTTTTATGTATAATTACATGAAATCAAACAATCTACCAGTTGACCAGAAACAGAGAAATTAACTCAGTTAGCATCAACACACAACCAATATCAACCATTTTCTTCTTATTATCTTTGGTATCTAATAGACAGATTTCATTTTATCATGATGACATTCAATCAATTTTAACATTTACGAAAAACACTTGTTTTAATGAATTTGCGAACAAATTTATGAACGAAAGACAAAAGGCTGAATTAGAAGGAAATAAAGGAAAAAGTTTATTTTGCAAGATTTCACTTAATGGATCATATGGTTACGATGCAATAATGAATGCACAGAAGGCACGCGTTGCATGTATGTCAAATAAGTTTAAAAACATAAGAGAAATAGGTGAAGATACATATCAAGTGATGCTTAAAGATAGATTTTATAGATGTGATACATGTTTACAAGAGGCATTCTTCACTTTAGATAATGCTAAATACTGGTATTTGGTTTTCATTTATGATTTTATGTATAAATGCATGGATGTTAATCGTTTTCATTTCATTGAAGGTGATACTGATTCATCTTATTGGGCAATCGCTGGCGACCCAAATCTTCCTAACACTCAAGCATTTCAAGCAATTGTTACCGATAAACAATTTTATGATAAAAACATTTTCAAATTCGCACCATTTGATTTCTTCTGTTTTGATGAGAAATTTAAACCTAAATTAAAGAATAAAGCTGAAGAAAAAGCACATGAGAAAAAGTTATTGGGTTTAGCAATTGAGAAACAAGGTGATAACATGGTTGCTTTATGTCCTAAGTGTTATACATCATTCAACGGTTCAATTGATGGAAGTGATTTTAAAAAGATTGCACAAAAAATGAAAGGTGTTAGTTTACGACAAAATAAGCAATTAACACCTAAAAAATATTTGGATATAATAAATGATAAAGTGATATTTGATGGTCAGAATATTAATTTACAACTTAAAAACGGGTCAATGACTCGCTTAACAATCGGTAAGACTGCATTAACAGGAGCACACACTAAGGCTGTATGTTGTGAAAATGGATGTTGTATGCCATTTATTTAATACAATTTAAAGTTTATTTTTAATGAAATGCCACAGAAGAGACAAAAGGAACCAAATCGATTTATACCAAATGGTTTTAACTTTCAGATTCCAAATAATCAACCACAACGAATTTTTTAAATCCCATCACAGCATCAACAGCAACAACAACCGCCACCATTTGATACCGTTTAGAAGAAGGAACCGTTAATGATGGGATTCAATATGTAAATAATGGTTTTGATACTATGATTCAAAGAGGTGGGCACCCTTAAAACATTGATTTTATTTTTATATAAATGGATAACGTAGATTTAAAAATTTTAATTGCTGATTTAGTTTAATCAAAATTTTCTTGATTATTATGATTTAAAAGCATATCTCCAAAAATATGATAACAATATAACGGGTGATGATATGGAATATTATTATCCATATTATAAAAATGAAATTTTGAAATATCATGATAGAATAATTTCTAAAATTAAAGACAAAATTAAAAATAATGAATATTCAAAGGGAAAAACTAAATCACAACTTAAACAGTTGAAAGATTTCAAAAATAAAGTATTAACAGAAGAAGATATTGATGAATTATATAATTTATATAATCCTGAGCCACAAAAACCAAAGCCGAGGTCTAAAGTAGCAAATGTTCAACAGCTAAAGGTGCAAAACGCCCAGGTCCTTCAGACCATAAATGAAGCACAAGCTTTAATTTATGATTCATTAGTTAAACCATATTCAGCCCGACTTTTAAATGAAGATCAACTTTTGGAATTCATCCTTCAACATAAACTCGAAGCGGGAAAGTATATCAAACCTTTATATACAGCATATTTAAAACAAATGAATAGAATACATCCAGAATTAATGAAAGGAAAATCAACAACTAAAACTTCATCATCCAAAATCAAAGCAGATAAAATTAAACCACTTGCAACACCAAAACCTCCAACGACAGTACCGCCTCCTCCTTCAGTTAATCCTTCATCATTCACTTTATTATATCCATTTCAAACATTAAAGAAGCAAAAAGATTTTAAAAAGGATTTCAAGATATTAAATAAACCAATTGACCCGAAAATTCAACCGTTAAAGGAAAAATTTAGTCGCCCTTCATTTGCACCATATCCATATTCATACGAAATCGATCATCTGGAATATTCAAAAGGAAAAGTTACTTATTTATTTGCCATTAACATTAACACTAGATATTTATATTGCATTCCAGTGAAAGGGAAAACAGAACAGGAAACAAGAAGAGCTATCAATACTTACTAGATCATGAAAGAGTAGATAATATCAGGGGTGATGGTGATAAAGGATTTCAGGCAACTATGACTCATTATTTCCCACAAATTAATTTTTTCTTTTCATCCTCTCCATATACGTTTCATAATAAAATAGTTGATGCGGTAATGAGAACTCTTAGAGATGCGTTAGGGGTTAACGGTCAGATATACTGGGATGGAAATCATGACTCCATCATACAACAGTTAGTATATTATTATAATAATACATGGCATAGAACTATAAACATGAAACCAGTGGAAATGAAAAATGATATTTCAAAAGAATGGGAATATATTAGAAAGCAAATGGAAAGGTTGAATGATGTTAAACGTGAACAAATTAATTCGGGGCTCATGAATTTTAAACAAGGGGATAAAGTTTTGATTCATCTCGATTATGGAAAAACTGATAAATCAATGACAAAAAGAAGACGAAGATTTGACACAATAGCTGAATTTGTTAGATATATTAACGGTAATGTATTAGTTGAAGTTGACAATAAATTAATAGAAATTCCGATTTATTTTATTACCCCATTATATTTAAATAATATTTAATTTTTTTATTTCGTAAGAAATGAGTGACAACGAAGCAGCCAAGAGTCCAGACGATGAATATAAAAAGAAACTAAACAGAATTAAATCAAAAATATGCTATTACAAAAAGAAGCCGCAATGCGGTGGGGTTGATGCCCATAAAACTAAAGTAATTGAAAACGATAAAGAGAAGAAGGAAATAATTGAAAAATTAGAAACTTATCGTTCAATCATTAAACTGAGTGAAGCAAAAATAAAAGAATTTAATAGAATAAATAAATTGGTTGGAAGAGATGAATTTAATAAAGATGAATTTTTAAACTCAATCCAAATTTAATTTTTATTCCTCTTCGACAACGTCTCGAATAACTGAGGGTGCTACCATGTTAATTAACTTCTCTGAAAAAATGAGACAACATGACATTTTGACAACAACACAGGAGGAAGGCACTTATGAATTATTTTTGAAGAACTGAAGGTGTCACTACGTCACCATGTGTCACTCGGTTAATTAACTTCTCTGAAAAAATGAGACAACATGACATTTTGACAACACAGCAGGAAGGCAGTTATGAATTATTTTTGAAGAACTGAAGGTGTCACTACGTCACCATGTGTCACTCGGTTAATTAACTTCTCTGAAAAATGAGACAACATGACATTTAGACAACAACACAGGAAATAAACTTCTTCGTATATGTTTTGTCATGATTTCTTCGTAATGAACGTATATGTTTTGTCATGACTTCATCGTAATGAGTGTAAATGACCCAAAATATATTTTAGGGTAGCAGGGTAGATCTAACCTCATTTCTACCCTCTTTTCTACCCTCTTGAATTTTCATACGGAATCTCTTCTCTCGGTTTTCCGAGGGAAGCAATCATATGAGGAAATTCTTCTAAAAGTTCTTTTGTCTGTTGGTTTTCAAACCAATGATATGCTTGCTTTGTAGAACGAAGAGTATTATAAGGCATTTTGTGAAGAATATAGCAATCGACGGAATTCAGACGGTTGCTTTTATACAAAATTCACGCAGGAAAATTCTTGAGTTTTGGTTGAAAGAATACGGTGGAGCCAAAAGTGGCTCGACCTCAAAACAAACATTTTGTGAGCTTACTAAGGCGTTATGAATGAATTCAAAGGTATTTACATACATCCTGACCTCGTTCATTTTGTTGCTGAATTCAGCAAAAATAATGTTTAGGGTAGATGGTTTTAGGTTATTCAATAATTAATTATTTTTGAAGAACTGAGGGTGTCACTACGTCACCATGTGTCACTCGGTTAATTAACTTCTCTGAAAAAATGAGACAACATGACATTTTGACAACAACACAGGAGGAAGGCACTTATGAATTATTTTTGAAGAACTGAAGGTGTCACTACGTCACCATGTGTCACTCGGTTAATTAACTTCTCTGAAAAAATGAGACAACATGACATTTAGACAACAACACAGGATTAATGCAAAAATAAATTCCAATCATACTTTATAAAGCATCATTTACAGGTATTTCATCGTCAGTAAATGAATCCTCATTATCGTTTGGTTCAACCTGTTTATATAATCCTTTCATTTCTTCTTTCAAAACATAACACCATGTTTGTTTACCATCTATTCTTCTCTGTTTCTTATCACATTTATCCTTAATACTCATTTGAAAGTTTTTGTCTTTCATGTCTGATGGTTTGCAGAATAGAGCATTTTTACACGTCATACCTGCACACAATTCATCATAATGTGTATTTATCCATACATCTAAAGGATTTGTTGATAATTCAATTAAATCTTGTTTGGCTTCAGTCATCGGTATGATTCGTACATTAAATGATGAAAGGTCATATTGCATAAAATATGTTAGTAAATTATCATAAAATTCCTTTGTGCATGAATCCATCAAATTCTTGAAGTAATCAAATTGACCCTTGAATTTACCATTAACTCTTAAAACTACGTATCTTCTGTCTCCAACTTCAATTTTGACAGGGTAAACGTTATTAGTTACGAAAATGAAGTTTGCAACGTTCTGAGCAGTTCTTCTGGGTTGATTCTTTTCATTAATTCTAATCTCATTATCCGTTATAATTGATTTCAAAGCGTTGAAGTTTGCGAGTCTATCTTCACCAACATTCTTGAGTTCATTAAGTACAAGACACATTTTATTCTCAACTACTGAATTGAAATTACCCGTTAGCTCACCTATTTCAGTAATGTTTTTACATGAATAACCGGCGAGAAGTTCAGAAATAATGTCTGTAAATCTGTTTTTACCTATTCCCTGAAGTCCTTTCAAAATAATTGCTGTTTCATTCTTGATTCCTGGATGTTGAATCATTGATGCAATCCAGCCGAGAAGGTATTTATACACTTCATCGTTATTATCACATATGGCTTCTTTAATGAAATTCATAAACATCTCAATTTTTGAGTAATCAGGCTTTTCGAGAACGTTGTATTTATAACCTTGAAACGTTGAGAAAACATCTGGAGAATCAGATTTAAAGCAAACACCCTTAACGGTTAATGAGGATAATTGATTTAGTAGTACATCCCATGCTGTTATTGTTTTACCTTCTTCTTTAAATAATTTAATCATTTTGAGTGACTCTTTCATGTTTGATTGAAGAACGAATGATATTTGATTCATTTTGTCGTGTATGTTGTAATCTTTCTGAATGAAGTATTTGTTTCCATAATCTACAAAACGGATTACACGTGATAAATCCTCAATTACTTCAGAACTGTTTTTATACTGACGATTTTCAGCCTTGCGTCTAATATCTGTTATCAAAAACGAGTCATCAAGTTTTATATCAAATGTTATTTTTGGCTTACGTAATAAAGGTAAAACATATTCATCATAATATTCCTTTTGATAAAGTTTTAGAATCTTCACTAAAACAAATGGAGAAGTCATTAAATGTGCATATCTACTACGTGCTTTTTCAAAATTACTTTTTGCATTTTCAGTTAAGCTGCAGAAGTTATAAACGTTATCGTATGCTTCATTAATTAAATGATTAGGTAACGAATTAATTGCTTGAAACAGTGTGAATAATGTAACTTCTTTTTCTAAATTCATGTTTCCACCGTCATTATGTACTTCAAAATCACAGATGCCATCAACTATGCTCTGGGCAAGTTTATCGTCAATGTTTACATCTTTGTTTTCATTCATTATACTCTT